TTAATAAAGAACCACTGGAGAACCATCTGTTTTAAGAGTGTAGTTACTAATGTGAAAGTAACACAAGTTCTTATATCCCAACCAAATTTCTGACTAATGAGCGACACCCACAGGCGTAATTTGGTGCTCTTTAGTCACTGCAATGTCAAAAATAGACAATGTGAAAAACAGACAAACCCGAACTCAGTTTGGATTGAGAAAACAAACTAGGCGTGAAAGCAGCCTAAGAAACCGTTCTAAAGCTGTATAATCTGATGAGAAGGGTCTAACTGCAGAGGCGCAGTAGCGCACCCTCAGGCTGGGACTGTCAGCCCATCACTCCCAGCTCTGGATACGACATTACTTAGTGATTGAGAGGCTAAGTAGCTATCATACCTTGCGTTCTATTATATGGAGGCCAAAGGATGCAGTGTGTAACATTTTTAGAAGCTCTCAAATCTCTCTAATCCCTACATAGTGCACTCCTAGGTTAGGGAACTACGGCCTCTGTATGTGACTAGTGCCCTAAGTTTCACCTACTATTGGATTTTAGACCTAGATAATGCATTAAATATGGAGGCCATTTGAGATTCAGCCTATGTGATCATGATATAAAACACTGCATCTGAGACATGGTTGAGCATTAACAGGAAGACGGAGAGTCAGTCTGAGTGAACGAGCGGCTAATCAGTAATGATTTACACCTGTATATGCTTAACGACAGCCTGCAGTACCAAATATATTATATGAAAACCAAAAATATTACCATAAATACAAAGAGTTTCCCTGTTAAAAACTGTTCTCATCTGATAAGAGTAAAGTAGTATAAGTTCAATCCACCATTTACTCCCATATTCACGAGAGCCAAAAGTACGGCCACAGTTCCAAAACAGAGACTCGTAGGAAGTTGAAAGTAGTGATGTATTACTCTGGCCACTGTTTCAATACCGGCTTTTACAAGCCCTCGTCCACTTGGACTCACCAATTCCCCTCATGGGAATCCCCAGCACCATTTTGAAGGCTGTTCCATTACTTTATTAGCTGAAGTCAATGGCTGCAGTCCACTTAATGCAGCCCTGTGCAGCGCTGACTTAACATGATGCATGCTGGTTAGAAATTAAGCCTGAATTTTGCCGGTGCTGCAGATTGTTAACTTTTCACATGACATAAAATCTCACAGAAGCAAGACAAGCTATAACATGCCTATGTGATGTCAAAGCATCGGCCTGGTTGGCTGGAATCTCCAGTGACTAACATGACATGCTACTATGTTATGTTTTTATTCTGAGAACTTCAGATCTGTTATCTCCTATGGTTATTTCTTCCAAAGACGCCATTTATTTGATTTCCTTCTTCTGGCGGCTCGTTTTTTACATGCGGCCGCCATACACCACAGTTTTTACTTCCAGCAAAAAAGCTGTGAAATCAGTTCGGCTCAGAAGTTTGTTATTTAAAAAAAAAAAAATAATGTCTTAGTGGGCCATAATATGTTTTTAAAATTTCTTGTCAACTTCCTGTCAATATGGTTGCCTTTGTAATTTTGTAATTTTTACTTTATTCTCAAATATATGCTTCTCAATAAAACAGAAAGAAGTGATAAAAATCTCTCTAGAGGTGTGGCTCTAGCAGGTAGTCTCTGTGGGACTTTTTCGCCATACACGTTAACACATCGCCCTAGATATTTTCTTAATACATTACTTGTGTCAAAAGTCTGATGTAAACTTTTGAGCGCTTTGATTTCATCTGCAACAAAAAAGGCAAAGGCCACTGTTGTCAGCTCATGCTAGGGGAAGTAGAATGTGCCCAACCTGATGGCAGTGTTTTTATAGTCCACCCCTGCAGTCATAAGCAATTCATGTTGACCATCAAGTCAGCTAAAGTCAGGATAAGTTGAATACGAATGCAGCCTTTAGTAGTTGAATTCAGGCAGGAGACCAGTCACTGGTTAAAAAAATGAATTGGAAAACTCATGACGCTAAACATGCCGTCTATTCGCAGAGAAAGTCCCGCCCTTCAAGAAAAAGGCCTATCAGCTCGCTGGTTATGCCACAAGCGGAGAAGAGTCAATGATATCCTGGTGTGAATGAGAAAGCCCACGCCCCATGAAAAATCACATTTTTGTGCATTATTAAGCCAAACGCTACAAACTATTTATGAGGTTTTTGTCGGGTTTTACCAGTGATTTCAAATATGCTTTTAAAGCGGTAATTTGACCTTCAGTTTCAAGTATTTTGGTCTCTCTCCTTTTAAAGAAGTCCCCTGATAGCAAGTGGATAGTGGACCACTGTCGGCCCACTGATGGCAAAGCTGGTGGTCCACTGGCGTTTTGCTCGGCGATTTATAGAGTAGTTAAGCAGGGTGTTAGACGAAATTTCACTTATCATCACTCATTTTCCACCCACAGTTCAATTTACTGATTTTTCCTTCCTTCATTTCTTTAGCTACACTTTGTAAATTAGTTTAGTAAATAATTTTCATCCAGCTCAGATTTAGCAACAACGTTTACTATAAAATAATTTTATATCAGGCCTAGTCATTATTTTTTTCTCTCAGTTGTTTGTAATGTTTGTCTTAGTTTTTTTTTCCAAAATAAAAGTCTCTGTGCATTTAAAATCTGTTTGGGGAGATTAAAAACTAGGTAGAGCTTGTATACAGGACAGTACTCTGGGTGGTCCGAGGGTGGACCAGCAGTGCCAAACAGTCAGTGGGGTGTCGACCTTATGAAGCCAGTGGACCGATATGTGCTGCTTTCTGGGTCTGTTCTTGGATGGCTCGAAATAACTGCTGGTTAACTGTGGCATTGCAAAGATGGTCGGTGAGTTAACAGACTTTTCTATAAGGGCTTTGAGTGAAGAGTGTTAAATGAGTCCTTTGCAGGAGCAAAGCCTAGAAGTCACTGACCTGACACACTTCCCTTTCCAACACCAAAATTATGGTGGACAAAGCTGTTTATAATCTATAGCAATAGACTATTTTAAAATGCATAATATTTCAAATACATAACATTCAAGTTACTGGGCTTTAGGTTACACACTACTCCATCTATAATACATGACTGCTGATATAACTTCATCACTTTCTCCTGCTAGCTGGCTCATTAGCATGTTAAAGCCTGCATGGCTAACAAGAACAAAAAATAAGTTTATAGCCAGACTAAGCAAGTATTCAGTCCAAAGTCAGCTTCTTATTCACCAGCTACTTTTTTGATTTTTTTCAGGTTCCACCTTAAATTGTGCAGCCTCAGGCACCTGAATGTAAGTGCTGCACTATTTAAGGTGGAACGGAAAATTTCTAACAAGAAATTGGCTACTGCACCATTTAAAGTGGAACAGGAAAATTCAAAAAAGCTGGTGAACAGGCCAACTTATATAATAAGACAACTTCAGACTCATCCTTCTAACTGTGTTGTGGTGTGTATATTTCATTTCTAGGTGCATTAAGATTATAAGTGATTCACACACTGATGAATTTGCTTATGTAGCTATGTGATTGTTTCTACCAGAGCTCACGGTAAATTCAGTTTTTAATGTGCAGACTGAACGTAGTACTAGTGACATCCTGTATAAATAAAAATAATGCGTGGCCACAACTTAGTAAGGCGCAGGAATGAGATAATCCACCTTACTAAGTCGTGGCCATGACTTAATTATCTCATTCCCGTGCCTTACTAAGTCGTGGGCATGCATTAGGATCACGTTAATACGGCGTGGCCATGCATTATTGTTATTTGTATTGGATGTCACCAGCAGGGCTCCGTACTGATCAGCATAATCAGAGTTATTACATAGAAATAAATGCTACTGAGAGCAGTTTGTGTGTACATTTAATTAATGTCTTGAAGATTATAACAAAACAAATCTGGTGAAAATCGGTTGAGTAGTAAGGAAGTTATGCCGATTTACTCATGAACACTCCAATACCATTTGTTTTCAAGCAGCTCTTGACCGCTCCAACATGGCGGACGCGCAGACGTGTCGCCTCAGATAGAGAACAACAGACAACGCGGTATCTAGGCATGTGTATCTATGTGTAATGTAGGAGTGACTCACATCCGAGTAGTAAGTGGAAGTGGACGAGGGTAAGATAAAGAATTGAAACAGGACTCAATCTCGACTCCTCTCGCTGGAATCGACTCCACCTCGTCCAAAACCAAGGCTGCGTCCAAAACCGCAGAAATAGTACACAACCAATAGTAGCCCATTCATTAGTGCAGTGTGTGGTTTTGGACGCAGCTCAACACAGCGGTGATAAAGGGGTATAGCAGCTATTAAACCGCCCTAAACGTAGTTTACCCATTTTTTTTAATAAGCTACAAATTATAGTGTTATGGTAAAATTTCGTAATTATACCAATTAATATGAAGTAGCTGGACAAATGATTACATGATTAATGTTTCAATACATCTTACCATCAGAATTCCCTTAATTTCACATGGCTGATGAAGAGAGCTCGCGAGCTTCTACGGGAAGCTCGGAAATATGTGACGTACTGAGAAAATCATAGGCATAATTCTATAAAAATAGACCAGTATTAGTTATCAAGATTCAAACTAAAGTTTTCAGCTGCATGTTATCTTGTTTCTATTTCAATTAAGCCGAATTTGGCTTAATTTGCCAGATTATTGATGGAATTTTCCGTTCCACCTTAAATGACGCAGCATTTATCCAAACAGTGGACAGGCGCAAGAATAGCTGCAGCGCCGTTTAAGGTGGAACGGAAAAGTTGAAAAAGAAGCAGGAAAAAATGCCAACTTCAGCTATATTTTTCACAACGACCTATGAAAAATATTATTGACTAATGTTTTTGTTTCGTTCCTTGTACAGTTGTAAATCGTTGCAGCCCTAATCATGAAGAAAATTAAGAGTTTGTTTTGTGTTTTTTCCGTAGTTCGAGCGTATTCCAGCACAGAAGAGTCAAAGAGTCGATTCCAAGCATTTCGACTCTCCGAGTCACTGACTCGCAGACGTGCAGGAGTCGAAGAATCGACTCTTTTGGAACCGACTCCCTATCACCAGTTAAACGTGCTGAATGTGGCAGAGTTGAGTGTGAGGACGGTGAATTGCGCATTAGCTGTGATTCCCGATCTTACTTAAAAGTTGCGTAGGACTCTACGCAAGGCTCAAAACTTCCGTAAACATGCGCATATTTATCTGCCGTCGCTATAAACCCCGCTTTCTGCTCGGGAAGTTACACATTACACAGCTGCTTTGCGAGTACGCCCCGTTTGTAAACGAGGCCGCAGGTCATTTGGAGGAGATCTGGCGCAGGTATTGTGAAACGTGTGATAACAGTGTCCCTGCACTATAAGGAGGGAGGGCGTGTGTGATCTGCTCAGTGTTGTCCGAGGCCACCATGGACACAGCAACTGCTATTCTGATTATTGGTTTTGCTGCACTGGCTGCAGCCTTCTGCTTGTTGTTCATTGGCCTGGTGTATGCAGAAGCAATGAACTCGGAGATTCCTCCTGGAATTACAAATCCTGGAAAACTACACGCTTTGCACTGCTTTATTGTAGGAATAGCAGTTCTGGTAAGTGTGCATCCTGGCTTTTGTTAGCTTTAATAATTGGTGTGTCCCCAAAATCCCTAAACGTTGTTTGCTGCACTGAAAAATATAGTAACATATATGTGTACTGTATATTTTATGTTACATGAGCCATAATCATTCCTTTTTCTGAGCTCTGGGGAAATGAGCAAAAGCTCTAGGCCTGCTGTAAATTGAATTTCAAAGGACTTTGGTCATCTTCAGTGCAAAATGCACAAACATGCTCTATATTCCCGTTTAACCGTCTTGGACTGTGTGTGTACTTAAGAGTAAGTTGTTGTATAACTTTTTTTCTTGTTACAAAGTCCACGTGAGCTAATGTCTAATCTTGTTTTGCTAAGGTCAGCCTGAAAATGAGGTTTAATAAGAGAAGTGTAGCACTAACAAATGCACTCATGCAGTCAGAACCACTGGACACTTGAACATTGGGTGTATTATTGAATTAAATTTGTAACTTGAACAACCTGACGCCGGTTTTTCAGATTACATCGTCTGCTGAAGCTGCTGTCAGCTGTAATCCTCTGAACAATAGAGCTGGGCTTGTCTCAGTTTGAGTAATGATAGAAGTTTTGGTAACACTTTCTTTGAAGGGTGTCTACATAACACATTCATATCACCTTACATAAACACTTCATAACATGTTCATGAATGCTTAAATCAACATTCGTAAACTATACATGTTTTACATGATAGTAATATGGACTACTATGTCATTTTACCGAAAGATGTTTTTCAAAATAAAAGTCCTCATTTTATTTATTATTTTCAGTGAAACTCCTCTTTTCTGGACTGACAGCATAAAATGACCTGGCTTTATCCCTTTGGACAGAAAGTGTTTTGACACTTTTTGCCTAGACTTTCAACTTTTCTCAAGCATTTGTATTTTGCAATGTGCTATTCTTTCTGCTTTTTACACTAATTATTCATATATGAAATATACTGTTCATTCAACACTCTATACATTATTGTGGAAAATGTTACTTAAACTAAGTTTAACTTTCTTGGGGTAAATGCTAACACTGTTATCCCAATTACTGTGGAGGTTTTATTTTTAGTGAAGTTCTTCCTCACTTATGGTTTTGGAGAAGGCACAAGTATAGCTGTGCATTAGTTATCCTGTGTAACTGAGGTTAAATGTGACAAGCACTGTTATCACAAGGAATGACTCCTTTTTTGGCATTACTTCAAAGTACAATCGAGTGGTGGCTCTTTGACTTTCCTCACTCAGGGTGCTGATGATTTTGTAAGAAATGTCTTTTATAAATTTGCTTTGCTTTGCCTTCACCATAAAAGTGATGGAAGTCACGTTATCCTCACTAAAGTGCATGTTACATGAATGGATGGATCTTGAATGGAATGGATAAGTATTATGGACCTGTCCCACCACCACACAGAGTTTGAGACTTTAAGTTGATTGACTGTTCATAGCATATTTATGAGTAATTCACTGTCCATATAGTAAAGTGACATGCAAGACAACATTCATAAGTGATTCATAGCATTTTAAGGAGCTGTTAATATACTTTATAGTAAAGTGACACGCAAAGCAACATTCATAAGTGATTCATAGCATTTCTAAGAGATGTTTACAGACCATGTGTATAAATAGTGATAGTGATTTACAATTAAATATCTACAATTATTTTCCCTACCTTTGCAGCAAGACCCAATGACTGTGAAAAGGAGTCAGTAAGCACCACAAGTAGGAAGGTCCTTTTTTTTATTGGCAAGACCAACAGGCACTTAAACATGCTGCTAAAACTCAAATCAGGAAACTACAAACTCTTCTGAACATGGAACTGCAAAATAGGCAAAAATAAAATAATCCGCCTTTACAGTAAAATAAAGCTCTGCTGATCGTTCAACACAGTTTCAACTATAAACGGTCTAAAACACTGGAGTTAATATAGCCTCTATCTGCTAATTTACCCTTTAACCCTGCAAACTTTTTTACAAGACTATTTTACTTTTCAGCAAAGTTTCGCAGTGGAGATGCGAGACACGCGGCTATAGTTGCACCAGCTCTACATGAATTCAAATGTAGGCAAGTTACTGTACGAGCCTACAGACTTAAATGGAAATTCTAGGCAAAATGAAAATGTCTAGCACTGCTGCATCTGTTTAAAACCTGCCTGCTGTCCTTATACAGAGGTACTACAATAGTTCGGTGGATTAGATTTTCTGGTTTAACGAGTACAAAACCTCCTTCAAATAGGGTATTTTGAAGATGAGATGACCTTTTGAAAGTCTACCTGTGCTTTGGGCGGAGCTTTTTTCCCTGCGAGTTGACCAATGCAGAACAAAGCCAGATAGCTAACATTACTACTAGGAAGCGGAATATCACCTCTGTATTTATCAGCCTGTGTCAGTGCATTTTTTATTTTGTTTAAAGTATTTGCCCAATGCATGCTGGGTGTTGTAGTGAGAGAACATCAATGGATGAAAACACAACAGTAATAGAAAATAATAAATTCAGTCAAAGCTGTAAGGCGAAGAGATACAGTGCTGCACTACAAAACACAACAAAAAAAGGTCTTAGGCCAGAATGTCCCTTTTAAACTTAACACATTCAGTCAAAATGGGTTGCAACATATAGCAATTCCACTAAATTTTCAAAATTTCTATATAATTCAGTCATTCAGAGTGGTTTGATGTAAAATAGTACCTTGTAGAGACACATACTGGGTGCGTTTACATGCACTCAATAATCCGATCACAATCAGATTGCTGCAGTTATCCGATTATTCAAATGGTCATGTAAATACCATGCTCAAGAAATCCGATTAAGAGAGCTGGATTTTAGCTCAGTAATCAGATTTCTCAGTGCTGTAAACTCTTACTCTGATTTCTTTCGGATTTCTCAGTCTGCGTGTGCTCGAGAACAGACGGTCATACCGGAAATAAGCGAGCAGCGTCACCACGAGACGCAGCAAAACACTTTTGGACTGACACTGAAACCAAACACGAAATAAGGGACTTAAATATTCTTCATCTTCTAGATGATGTATGTTCATATTTTCAGGTAAAGCGGCGCGATGCTTTAAAAACAGCAGCAGTGTGAAGTTTAAGTTTTACGTTATGTTTACATCACATCTTCTTCTGTGAGTTTATTGGCTGGTTGTAAAGCAGAAATCCTGTCTGACTCATGTAGACCTGGAAATACTGTCTGACTCATGTAGACCTGGAGTTTCCCCATTATCCGATTACTCAAGTGCATATAAACACGTTGATCGGATCACTGACAAAATCTGATTTTTCTGCAGTTTCAGATTATTAAGTGTATGTAAACACACTCACTGACTCCTTTTACAGTCGTGCTGAAAAGAACCAGGGGTGGTGCTGTTTACAACACACATATAGCCATTTTATTTGCTATAAAAATCTCTTCTGAGTTCTTATATCTAATGTTGTTAATGGCAAAGTAGTGGTAAATTTTATATAGTAGCGTCTAGGTGAAGAAGAACCAGAGGTGCATGCTGTGCATGCAGGCAAATGCTCTTTTATTGAACAGGCCAGGACCGCCACTCAGCGGAGTTTGTGACCAGGATAGCAGACAGGTCACTTCTTCGACACTCAGCCCACAACCCAACTCAGAACAGCACATGCATCACATGCCAAAGTAACATCAGCAACTCAAACACTATCTCAACAGCAAATATCGTCCAGTTCTCCCCAAGAGCTTGTCGCCTCCCGAGAGCCTCGCGGCACAGCCACTTTACATGGCTACGCCTTCCCCACTCCTACGGCAGCGAGGCCTGTGGTGGGACGCCACACTATTTTGCTTCACAATGACCAATGTCTCCTCCATTAATGGATATAAAAATGACTTTTTAGGCCAAAAGACTTTTAAAACTATTAGAAAAAATGTCTCAGGCATCAGACGTCATATCCAGTACCATTTCATGTAAAAACCTTCTGTGAATGAGCTTTTAGAGACACTAAACACTTCAGACATCTGGGTTAGGGTTAGGGTTAGGGCACATTTCACATCTGATCACTCTGCATGACTGCATTTACATCTTCACAGTTTAATTAAGCAGAAATGTGGAAAGAATGATAGAATTTTCTTTTAACATTCACAAATCTGACAATGCGCTAGACTTCTAACCAGGATGGAGTTAATGTCGAGCTTCTTTTGATGAGTTTGAGATAGTTTTTGTGTTTTTTTTCATTGTGCTAAATCTGTTTTCAGGGCCGAGTCTTTGAGCGTCTGGGTCTGTGTAGTCAGGTGAGTTTTACTCGATGGTGTACAGGCAGCTTAATGGCCCTCAAACGGCTGCCAGCGCCTGGTCTCCGCATTAAGGACATGACCTTCAGCGGTGTGCCTGTGAGAGTGTATGAGCCCACAACTGCTTCCGATCAGAAAAGGAGAGGGATGATGTATTTTCATGGTGGAGGATGGGTGCTGGGCACTATAGGTAAGGCATGCAAGGTCTTTGGCTGATATGAATGATCATAGTAGCCCGATATGTTCATTGAAGAGATGTAGTATAACTCTTTTTCTCAACATAGATTTATACGATGACATTTGCCGGCACATTGCCAAGGAGACTGATACCACGGTTGTGTCAGTTGGGTAAGTCTACTACATATAATTAGTATTGTCCAGAATGATGAACAGAACTGTAGATGACTCTAACCTGACTGAGAAAGCAGTACAAATTCTGAATGAAGTTATAAAATTATTTAATCATAAAATTAATAATCAAAATAAGGGTAAAACAATCTTTGTATCTAGAATACCTCCTGTTTCAAAAATGTTGGATCTTGGGGCTGATAGCTTGACAAATGCACCTTAAATAGATCATTACATTATGTTATTTATTATTTAATAACTTTTTGTTGTTCCCAAAACACTTGAAATTTACTAGGCAAACCTAGATGTGCTGGACTGACATAACTGCATGGCTTTTGTTTTTATTACCAGTCACTTTCTGTCAAGGACATTTTTTTATCATTACACTAGTACTACATTTTTTATCTGTTATCCTATTACTACTAATAATAATGAATATAGCCGCAAGGGGCAATCATAGGGGTCCAAGCACCTTCAATCTTCGTTAGCGCTGTAAGTCTCCATTAACATCATAAGTTTTTGATAATTATTAGCATTCAGTGTCTTATAAGGCTCTCAAAATGTAAACTTCACATTGCTGCAAGTTGTCCTTTGCAAGGGCCAGGAGAGTTCAGGTGGAATTTGAACAAAGCACCTAAACAATTTATTGGTAGAGAGAAATAAGAAACCAAGCACCATTTTAGGAACTAGTTCCTAACATTCAATTATTATGATAATTTTCTTTTATATTACTCAATAAATTTACAATACGCCCTCTGTTGGTCATTTCATACAAATATTTGCAATTTGGTTATAATCAGGCAGTTGCTTATATATTTGTAGCTTTTTAAGTCGGACTAAGCCAAGTCACACCGATTTGTTCAAATCTTGCAGCCACACTCTGCTTAAAAGTCATGATGTTTTTAATAATTATTCATGTTGAGACTCCACAGGTTATTTTAAGAAACATTTGGAGGACATTTGATATAAACTCAAGGAATAGTAAGAAAACATCTGTTTTCAACCTTTAATGAACTGCAGAAAAAAAGGTGCTTGGACCCCTTATTATTATTATAATGGGTAGAATTTTCAGTAATTGTGTGACGAAAGCAAGTTATGTTATTTAAACAGTAAAATTATTATTATTATTATTATTATTATTATTATTATTATTGCAATAGCATCGAAGGTACTATGTTACACTGTCGTCATCCTGGCCGGGAAAAGGTGCAGTTGTGAATAAATCCATGTTCTCCCTGGATTTGTTTGATACTTAATTTGCAATTTAGACATGACGTGTCTGCCGCAATGTCATAAATAGTTATCACTCAGTCTGTTAGTCAGTCATCATTTTTCTTAATAATTAAACGAAAATTCCACTGATTTTTCAAAAATGTGCAAAATTAAATTCTTAAGGTGTAAACAAAGGCATTTAGAGTGGTTTGATATGAAATGCTCTGTTATTACTAAAGATACCTACTTATAGAAATAGAAACCAGATGTCCAAATGTAATACCACTAAAAGCACCACACAGAAAGTTATCCCCTTTATAACTGCACTGGATAAGTTATTATTGTACAACAAATAATGGTTATGACAAGCGAGTTTAATGTTTTTAATGGAAATGTAAAATATTATAAAAGTTCGTATAAAAAAGTGCTTGAAAATGGGTTCTGCCATTGTTTCCTTTTATTCTTCTTCACAGTTACCGCCTTGCCCCTGAGCACAGGTTCCCTGCCCACCTGGATGACTGTGAGGCCGCCACTCTCCACTTCCTGTCTGTGGCAAAGGATGAGTTTGGGGTTGATCCTGGCAGGGTGGTGTTGGGTGGAGACAGTGCTGGGGGCAACCTGACGGCCGCTCTCAGTCAGAGGCTGGCGAGGAAGCAGGCTGGACATCTGCCCTCTCCTCTTGCGCTGGTCCTCATCTACCCTGCCCTGCAAATGGCAGATTTCAACCTGCCGTCCTACCAGCAGAACCATGCCGTGCCCCTATTGTTCCGAGCCAGGACCGTCTTCTACTTCCTGCAGTACCTCAATGGGGACATGTCCGTGAGCCAGGACGTTCTAGCAGGCAGGCACATTCCCGCCGAGCTAAAGCAGCACTACAAGAAATGGCTTGACCCAGCTATTCTACCGCCCGAATTCAGAGAGAGATGTGACCAAAGGCCAAAGGTGGGTTCAAACTACAACCTCGTTTCCAAAAAAGTAAGGATGCTGTTGAAAATGTAGATACAAACAGAATGCAATGATATGGAAATCATTAAAACCCTATATTTAATTGAAAATAGTACAAAGACAACATGTCAAATGTTAAAACTGAGAACTTTTATTATTTAAAAAAAAAATGCCCATTTTGAATTTGATATTACTTTTTTAAACGTTGATGCAACGCATTAAGTTGGAACAGGGTCATGTTTACCACTGTGTTGCATCACCTTTTAATAACACTGTAGGCTTTTAGCGAACTGAGCAGACAAAATACTGTAGTTTTAAAGGCAAAATATTTTCCTATTCTTGCTTGATACAGGATTTCAGCTGCTCAACAGTTCGGAGTCTCTTTTGTAATATTTTTCATTTCATAATGTGCAAAATGTTTTCAGTGGTGACAAGCAGGCCAGTTCAGCACCTGGACTCTTTTAATACGGAGCAATGCTGTCGTAATACATGCAAAGTGTGGTTTGTCTTTGTCTTGCTGAAATAATCAAGGCCTTCCTTGAAAAAGCAATGTCTGGATGGCAGCATATGTTGCTCAAAAACCTGAATATATCATTCAGCATTAATGGTGCCTTCACAGATGTATAAGTCCCTAATGCAATGTGCATTAATGCACCCCTACACCGTCATGGAGGCTGGCTTTTAAATTGTGTGCTAATAACAAGCTGGATGGTATCCATGATTTCCAAAAAGAGTTTCAAATTTTGATTCGTCGGCCCACAGGACACTTTAGTCCATTTCAAATGAGCTCCGGCTCAGAGAAGGCGGCAGCGTTTCTGGATCCTGTTTATATATGATTTTTTCTTTGTATGATAGAGTTTTAACTTGCATTTGTGGATGCAGTGATGAACTGTTTTCACAGACAGTGTTTTTCAGAAGTGTTTCTGAGCCCATGCAGTGATTTCCACTACAGTTGCATGTCTGTTTTCAAATGCAGTGCCGTCTGAGGGCATCACAACCAGCCAGTATTGGTTTTCAGCCTTGTCCCTTGCAAAGAGAGGTTTCTCTAGATATAATGTACCGTTAATGATGAAATCTCCAAGTTCTTTGCTATTTTACATTGAATACTTTATTCTTGAATTGTTGCGCTATTTGCCCGTGCTTGTCATACTTCTGAAAGACTCTGGGATTATGCTTCTTTTTATTAGTTTTTATTATTATTATTATTATTTTTTTGCATTACACAACTTTACCAGTCTTTCATTGTTCCTGTCTCAGCTTTTTAAAACCGTGTTCCTGGCAGCAAATTCAAAATGGGCGTATTTTTTTCAAAAAATGCACAATTTCTTAGTTTTAGCATTTGATATGTTATCTTTGTATTATTTTCAACGAAGCGTAGGATTTAAATCATTTAAACATCATTTTATTCTGTATTTTTTTACATTTTGCAAAGTGTCCTAACTTTTTTTGGAAATAAGGTTGTAGTTTCATTTACACAGTTTATTTAAATAAAATGTGTATTTAAGTTAAAAGTTAATAGATTTCTACTTATATGAATATTTTCTAATGATAATACTTCTATTTCTGATGTATTCTACCTGTTTGGAATCACTTGTTTTATTATTAATAGGTGTAATAAATTGACTGATGTACAACAAGCTGAACACTCTGAAAGCTAAGATGTTCTGCTACAGTTCTGTAACTCATAGACTTATAGAAGCAAAACTCCTTTAACTTCCATTGCAATTTGCCAAAAGCAGGTGGCCACAGATCACGATGGTGAGGTGTACCACATCATCAAAGACGGACTGCAGCCAGAGTTCTCTCCTTTGCTGGCCGAGGATGATGTTCTTCGCCTCACGCCTCCCACCTTCATCCTGACCTGTGAGTACGATGTGCTGAGGGACGACGGGTTCCTGTTCCAGAAGAGGCTGAAGGACCTTGGAGTGGACGTCACCTGGCATCACCTTCCTGATGGCTTCCATGGTGCATTTAACTTCTTCAGCAAGAGAAGGATGTACTTTCCTACTGGAGAGAGAGCCATGGAGCAGGTTGTGAGCTACATAAAGGGACTCTGAAGCCTAGAACACAATTTCCCTTATCGGGAATGTAGCTAACAAATAAAGGAAACGTATGTACACTATACCTGAATCATCAAACTGCATACATTTGTTAAATAATTTCAAATAGACTTGCTTATGTGGTTTCTGACACCATATGATACACTGTAAAAAGTGGCTCGTCAGATCTACTTAAAAAAATTACTTAATGTGGTAATTAAGCAGTAGAACCCGAGAGGGAGTGTGTTATCGCAAAATAACATCAAGGCTGTGATTTGGTCGCCGTAGATCATCACAGCCGTGATGTTATTGGCGATAACACACTCCTCGAGTGTTCTATTGCTTTAATACAACAGTTAAATAAATACAGTAATAAATTAATAAACTGGGCCGTGAACGCAGCGTTTAATATGTTTTAATGTTCGCAGTTCCTTCACCAAATTATAGTTCCTTAACGAGCAGCTTGTTGCTACATCAGAGTAACAAGCTCCGCCCACTCGCTGCACGGCCGGCAGTTCGTTCTCCAGCTCCTTACACTAAATTCCCAAACTGTCATCACCACTGAGCAGCTTTTTAGTCGGCAGCTGTGACAGAAGAACAGCTAAACAACCTGGAATCAGCCAGAAATGAACCCAATACCATTCGCCAAACGTGTAGTCTGATCTTCAGAGTCTGACCAAATCAGACTGAGCCCTAAAACTGCTGCAATATCAAGTTCAGCTCAGTTTTGTCAGTTTTTGCCAGATGAGTATTAATGTTGTTTTGTTCCAGCCAGTCTGTAAAGCATCTTACAGCCCATTTAGTTTGGCGAATGGTGTTGGGTTCATTTCTGGCTGATTCCAGGTTGTTCAGCTGTTCTTCTGTCACAGCTGCCGACTGAAAAGCTGCTCAGTGGTGATGACAGTTTGGGAATTTAGTGTCGTCTCATCTTCAGAGTCTGACCAAATCGGCTGTCGGTCAAATGTGATCTTAAAAGTGTCCATTTTCTGTTTGTGGCAAAGTAAGAAGTAAAAACGTTCAAATGGCTTGAGCGTCTCCTACAGCTGACAAAGTCGTCAAAGCAACAGCGTCTCAGTGGAGTGATACAGTGTTTGTGAAAAAACGTGATGTTATGGCGAAATAACAGCACAGTTAGAACACTTCTCAACCAACCAGCTTGCGTGGCCGGAACTAACTGTTGTATAACAAGCAGTTGAACTAGTTTTATTCAACTCAAAAAATTACTTTGATTGAAAGTAAGTAAATCTGACGAGCCACTTATTACAGTGTATATTGTTATTTGTAAAAATGAACAGAAAATGAAAAATGAAAACAGTACATAGCTGCCATCTTGATGCCTGTTTTTCATTCGTACTTTTGTCCATTTTAATGTTTAGCTTACACATTTTTATAGATTTCTCAACACAGTTTGAGGCAATTGCATTTTCATTGTCATTCTAATGACGATGTATGTTGATGCTAATTCGTGGGGATTAAGCTTCTATCACTTGTTAGCTACATTAGCTCAAAGGTACAGAAGCAAAAACCTCCTGCCTAAAGTAGAAACTTCACAAATGTGACTAAACGACTAGCTGAACCATTAGCTTAACCCCTGTGTGGTGTTGATGTGTTTATTACACAGTGGTCTGCTGGACCCACCACATTATTGTTTTTCAAATCAATACAGCCATAACAATTTATGTAAAAATACCAGATGTTTAAAATATCACAAGTGTCCAGCATAGGGTTCTACTTTAGCAGCTGTAGCCAGTCAGCAGCCTGTCCATGTTATCCACCCTCACACACACATATGCAAACACATACACACACACACATATATAAACACATACACACACAGACACACACACACACTAACAGCAGGCCATGTAGGAGGAGAACAGAGTGAAGGACACAGCACCTCCACACTTTTACTCCCCGCGGGTTCAGCCCAACACCACGTGTAATATAAATGTGGGGGGTGAACAGAGTGAAGACACTGAAAATGGGTTATTTTAAATGTTCTTCACAGAAAATGAGCAAAGGACAAGAATCTGAGGCTGAAATTATCATAAATCACATCATTTTTTCTTTTGGTAAACATTGAAAATGGGTCCCACAGACCTGAACACCACACAAGGGTTAAAGAAGATTATACTATGTACAGCAGTGAGAGTCAGAGACCATCTTCATTTATTTAATTTCTAGTCAAAACTGCCTTGACCTTCAAGGTGTTGCTTTTTCAGTGTCAGAAAAAAGGAGAACTTTTAACAGAACAGTACTTTTAACAGAACATTACCCAGAGGCCTTAACAACTAAGTATAATACCAGACATCTCTGTATTCATTGTTTTTATTATAGCCTTCATTCTTTTTGGGAGACTTGCTTTCATGTTTTTTAAGAAACACACATTTTTCCAGGTGTTAGAAGTTGGCTTTTTTTGCTTCTAACCCCAAACACAGTCAGTGATGCTGAGGTCTGGACTCTGGGGTGGTCAGTCTGTTGTTCTGAGGACACCAGCAGCTTCTTTTTTGATTTGCAGTCTTTTTTATTGTTCTTTTTTGTCTATTTCCTTTCTCAGTAACAGCTACACATCCTTTCAGACCCATAGCGCTGAGTTATCTTCTCACAGTGGAAGGGTGGACAGAAACACCTGTGGAGCTTGATTTTCTCCTGTTGTTTATCTTTAAGTGCTGTTTATCTGATGGGGTCAGTGTTGGTCTACCAGGTCTTGCATGGTTATTAGGAGTCCCTCTCCATCTCTTTTAACCCCTTAGCAAGCCCAAAGTTTTATGGCACACTTTTATAATCTAAGAATAGCTCCATTTGTTTGCACTGAAGTCCCTGTATACACTTAAAAAAGACGGTTCTTCAAGGGTTCTTTAGTAAAGAAAATGGTTTAAAATAGAACCATGAACACTTACAGAACGCTTTAAATAATTAAAGGGTTCTTTGCATCATGAAATGATTCTTCTGACTGATGAAGAATGTGTTGTTCACCTGCCTTGTAGGCCCACTATCTGCTGAACACCTCATGTTATTAGCATTTTAATTCTTCCATTCTTCAGTGGGCAGTTTTTCACCACAAGACCGCTGTTGACCAAGTGTTATTTGGGTGGTGGACCATTCTCAGCACAGCAGTGATGCTGACATGGTAGTACATGTCAGTAAACAGGTACAAATGTATTGCTGTATTACTTGCCCAGATAGACAGCATATATCGGTCTGCTGACTTCATAAGGTCAACACCCCACTGACTGTTTGCCACTGCTGGTCCACCCTGGGACTACCCAGATTACTGTCCTGCACACAAGCTCTAACTAGTTTTTAATCTCCCCAAACAGCTTAAATGCACAGAGCCCATTATTTTAGCAAATTAACTTAGATAAATATTACAAACATTTGAGAGAAAAACATTTTTTTTACAGAAAATGTTGTTGCTGAGGCTGTTTGTCTCAAATTTGATTAAAATAATTTGCTAATTTACTAATTTACAAAGTGTAACTAAAGAAAAGGAAGGAAGGAAACATCAGTAAATTGGACTGTGAGAAGAATATAATAAATAATATGTGGAATTTTGTCTATAAATCTGTATAACCACCGGTGGGCCGCCCAGAAAACGCTGAGCAAAATGCCACTGGACCATCAGCATTTCCATTAGTGGGCCAAGAGTGGTCCACTATTCTCTTGCTATCAGGGACGTCAGTGTCACTGCTGGGTTGAGAATGGTCCACTATCCAGGAGCGGCTCTGCGGTACCCAAAGAACCCAAGAAGGTTCCTAATGGTCCGTGGTTGTACAGTAAAAATATACTGTTACGTTTATCTCATATGCTGAGAAACTGTCTGCAAAGCACAAAAATTCCAAACAAATTTGCTTCTCTGGCATCGAAGAAAGAAACTAGAGACATACCAACTTTCACAAATTAAAAACCCATTTCTTTTTTTTTCTTTCATTTGGCTCTTTTTTCATCGATCTACATTTCAATGCAGATAACAGTATGAAAGAGTATGAGTGTAATATTGGTGCGATTTTTATCCACAGTATTTATCAATATATGTTTCAGTTTTCTAATAAATCATGCTGCAGTGAACCGTGCATTGTTTCAGATTCATTCCACACTCTTTGCTCTTCTGTATGAGCCTCATGTCGTCTCCTCAGGCGCTACAGGTGAGGCCCTCATTCATTAATTCAAAGAGCGAGTCTCTCTTCATTATGCTGCATTTAGAGCTCCTTCGCTGTGTGTTTTGTGCATCCATGGCAACGGAACTCTTCCCCCACAGCGACTGGATCACAATGGCCATATCGCTTTCATCCCTCATCCTGGAGCGGGAGCTATTAAAACTAGTCAGGTGTAGGGTCCTGCATGAGGGACCTCAGCGAACGGCATGCAGGAGAAGGACGTGGGTTATAACAAATGGACTCAGCCGGGTTGGAGGATAGAGCCGAAGTTTTCCAACAAAGTTCTGATTGGCAACTGGGTGGAGGAGAAGCTACAGGTATTACTGCAACTATTGACTTGCATTATTCTGGGCTATGCATATTTTTGGACTTCTGTATTGATCCGTTAGAGGTCTAGTTATTGCTGTTTGCTATATATTTGATTTAAAAAGATAGTTGTTGATACTACTGATGTAGATCTTACAACATACTGTAGCTTAGGAACACATTAAAAGTCAGACATCCTGAAAAACTGCAGTAGTGGACGTTCAAATGGGTTTAAAGAGCCATTACAATCCAGATTGTTTACTTGTCTTATGATGTATAACACATTTAAAATACAACATTAAACTTATAAACAGTGTAAAAAAACATTTGTTATCCTGAAAATGTTGCAAAGATTTTTGGATACTTCTGCAAGGCACTGTATGTCAATGTTTTTAAAGTGCAAAGAAAAGGGTTCTAAATATGACAAATATATAAAAATTTAAATTCCAAATATTTTTTCTAGATGCATAATTTAATGGCTCGGTTGTAAAACAGTCATTCAGAGTTGTTTACTGTTGAATGCTTGTTTTACAATAGAGAAGCTTTCAGCCTTTTTTATCATTCAAGATGGAGGCACAGGCAAAACTATCACCAAAGAAAACATATTTTCCCTATTTTCCATTTTTTTTCCATAATCAAAATTGCATATAAAAATCAGAAGATGCACATAGGTTCACTGGACATTTTGGACTGTAAATAAAACAGCTTTATTTGAGTGCTAGACATTGCAACCTCTGGTTCCTATTATATTGCAATGCACAATTTCACATCAAACCACTATGACTGACATAATTCAGTGACTGAATTATGCAGAAATATATAAAAAAAAAACATCAGTGGGATTCCTGTTTAAAGTGCTTTAATATACTAAATAAAAGGATTACATTTAGTTCACATAACTTCATACAATTAGGTTAAGGTCAGATATCTGACTGAGTTCTCACCCATTGAATTATGCAGAAATCAGTGGAATTCCTATTTAAGCTGGAACAGGATATTTTACACTGTTTCAGCTTTATTTGTTTGTTTATACTAGGTTATCATTCCCTCTGTAACTAATCACATTTAGCTACATTGAATTTATATTCTCGGTGTTTTGATGTCAAAAAATGAGGAAGCATTACAAAAATGTAAAAGATGCTTTTCTCTTTGTACAAATTAAGACTTCACATGACAATAACTTCTCAAATTAAAATGCTAATAAAATTTGAATAAAAATGTTATTGCAAGCACAACTGTGGTATGAATTGACAGTTTAGAATCTCCACCTTTGGCAGAAATTAATAACAGTCAACAAGCTACGCATCAGAGGTTTCTGAAACGTGGGTGTTTTTTATTGCAATGCACACAAACTTGGTAATCTACCAGGACACAGCTGACCAGCAGAGGCCAATGTACGAGGAAGCTATCAGAGAAGGGGCTATTCCACAAATAATAAAATTTGGATTTAAGGATTGTTGTTGATGATGGCTGTAAGGAGAGAACAGTGAAATGCAAAGTCTGCAGTTAAGAAATGAGTGAAACAACCAACAACAACCACCACAACATCCAACTTCATCTGTCACTACAAAACCCACATAGAGAGATACGTGACGGTGTCTTTTTAGCCACGTATTTGTTGAACATTATTTAAAATGATAATATGATAATGTTAGCTAGAAATGTGCTTGGATTGGGAATATGTAGATGTATGTGTTTGGATTGGGAATATGTAGATGAATGTGTTTGGATTGGGAATATGTAGATGAATGTGTTTGGTTTGGAAATATGTAGATGAATGTGTTTGGATTGGGAATATGTAGATGAAGGTGTTTGGATTGGGAATATGTAGATGAAGGTGTTTGGTTTGGGAATATGTAGATGAATGTGTTTGGTTTGGGAATATGTAGACAAAGGTGTTTGGATTGGGAATATGTAGATGAATGTGTTTGGATTGGAAGTATGTAGATTAATGTGTTTGGTTTGGGAATATGTAGATGAATGTGTTTGGATTGGGAATATGTAGATGAATGTGTTTGGATTGGGAATATGTAGATGAAGGTGTTTGGTTTGGGAATATGTAGATGAATGTGTTTGGTTTGGGAATATGTAGATGAAGGCGTTTGGATTGGGAATATGTAGATGAATGTGTTTGGATTGGGAATATGTAGATGAAGGTGTTTGGTTTGGGAATATGTAGATGAATGTGTTTGGTTTGGGAATATGTAGATGAAGGCGTTTGGATTGGGAATATGTAGACAAAGGTGTTTGGATTGGGAATATGTAGATGAATGTGTTTGGATTGGAAGTATGTAGATTAATGTGTTTGGTTTGGGAATATGTAGATGAATGTGTTTGGTTTGGGAATATGTAGATGAAGGTGTTTGGATTGGGAATATGTAGACGAAGGTGTTTGGATTGGGAATATGTAGATGAAGGTGTTTGGATTGGAAATATGTAGATGAATGTGTTTGGTTTGGGAATATGTAGATGAATGTGTTTGGTTTGGGAATATGTAGATGAAGATGTTTGGATTGGGAATATGTAGACAAAGGTGTTTGGATTGGGAATATGTAGATGAATGTGTTTGGTTTGGAAATATGTAGATTAATGTGTTTGGTTTGGGAATATGTAGATGAATGTGTTTGGTTTGGGAATATGTAGATGAAGGTGTTTGGATTGGGAATATGTAGACAAAGGTGTTTGGATTGGGAATATGTAGATGAATGTGTTTGGTCTGGGAATATGTAGATGAATGTGTTTGGTTTGGGAATATGTAGATGTGTGTGTTTGATTTGGGAATATGTAGATGAAGGTGTTTGGTTTGGGAATATGTAGATGAAGGTGTTTGGTTTGGGAATATGTAGATGAAGGTGTTTGGTTTGGGAATATGTAGATGAAGGTGTTTGGTTTGGGAATATGCAGATGTATGTGTTTGGTTTGGGAATATCCACACTAGCTAGCATCTTTGCCACAAAGTTAAAGGGGATATTCATGTCCCATCAAAGTAATGTCAGTATTTATTAGCATGCTAAAACAATTATACTTGAATAAATTTTCATGGTTTGATGTTAGTAATGTTTACATTGTAGGTCATGTATCTTTATTATTTATTTATTTTTATATATTTAGTTTTATTTCAAATACCATTCAGTTGTATTTGGCTTTTATACAATACTTTTTGTGCACTGTAACAGGAAAACAATGGGCCTCATTCACCAAATGTTCTTAGGAAGAAAGTTCGGTAACACTTTCTATGAATGTCACCTTTGTAAGCATCTATAAACACATTCATAACATGTTATAATGCATTCATAAAGCATTATAAACATGGCTATAAATATTTATAAATATGGATTACACATTATAGCCAAGTTTATTATGCATTATGAATTGTTAACATAATACATTATAAGTACTGATCATAACAAATTATAAGAGCTCATAAGTGGTATTTGTCCGCTCTAAGTAAAGTGAAGCGTACTGTACTAAAGCCTCCTCCAGTGTTCAGAGTGAGGCTTCAAGTTGAAGTATTTACTGAAGGATTTACTGAAACACTAAAACATTCACAGTAAAGCACATTACAGGCTTCAAATGTCAGAGTTTAAACTAGTGCTGCCATCAGTGTTTTACCCAATGTGGGAAAGGTAATGTACACCACCGTTAGCTTGGTATTTGTCTTTGCTTTATAACATGTTATAACAGTGCCAAAGAAGTCAGTCCCAGCTTGGAGAGTGCAAAGTAAAGACAAATACCAGGCTAACGGTGGTGAACATTACCTTTCCCACATTGGGTAAAACACTGATGGCAGCTCTAGTTTAAACTCTGACATTTGAAGCCTGTAATGTGCTTTACTGTGAATGTTTTAGTGTTTCAGTAAATCCTTCAGTAAATACTTCAACTTGAAGCCTCACTCTGAACACTGGAGGAGGCTTTAGTACAGTACGCTTCACTTTACTTAGAGCGGACAAATACCACTTATGAGCTCTTATAATTTGTTATGATCAGTACTTATAATGTATTATGTTAACTATTCATAATGCATAATAAACATGGCTATAACATGTAATGCATATTTATAAATATTTATAGCCATGTTTATAATGCCTTATGAATGCATTATAACATGATGAGTTATGAATGTGTTTATAGATGCTTACAAAGGTGACATTCATAGAAAGTGTTACCGAAAGTTCTTCTTAAAACTCACTTATGCAGTTTTCATAAAGATTCTGACTCAACAATGTTCTCTTATTTGGGATTTGTTCTTAGGTAAGAACAGAATCTACACACACTCAAGAGCACAAAGGTGAGAACAACAAGTTTAAGAACACGTCATGAATCTGACGTAGACTTTTTTACGTAGAATTTTTGTTAGGATCTTTCTCAAGAACAAATTTAAGATAATGGTAAATGAGGCCCAATGACAGAGTGCCGTATGAGAAGCACCTTGATGCGTTAATTGACCAAAGAGAAACGCAATAGTTTTCATTTATGTTGAAAATGAAACTCAACTTGTAATGACCACTGCCTTTTGACTTGCTTAATCTGAGGATTGACTTGACTTGTCTTGATTGACTTATAGCAGGGACTCGACTTAAAACTTGATTCTCACCATAGTCACTTAGTACTTGAGACTTGCAGGTTAAGACTTGAGACTTGCACATGACTCCCACCTCTCCCACCTCTGCTACGCATCATTTATAACGTCATCATGAAACTGTAAATCCAATGCAGAGTTAATCACAGTATATAGAACAACATTAATTGTAACATAAAGTCCAAACACATTTTTTACATTTTGAAGTGTTTATGTTTGTAATTATTTTGTTCCAGTTCCCTGAACCTTTTGCTGTCCTCTCCTGCCCATGGTCAGTTTAACCTCTCTGGAGGGCCAAACAATGCAAAAAGGAAATTACCTCTATAAATTTCACATTCAGATCCTATAAAAGCACAAAACAGTGACGTTCCATGAATAAACAAAAACCCTTTTGGCTTTTACTGTGTTAGAATACGCTCCACAGGGAAGACCCAACTAGTTCCTACACAGCACTGAGCTTCAGTGTTTCCCTGCTGGATGCAGCTCTGCTTTTACAACAGCTCAGCAAATGAAACAAGCACAGGTTTTATTCCTTTGTGTTTCTGCTGCTCTGCTTATTACTCATGCAGAGCTGTTATTCCGCAGCAGTTATTACATATAAATATTACTCCTGCTTAATAAGTGCTTGATATTTCAGATTTCTTTGCTTGTTGTCTTCTTGTTAAATTCTTAGGCCGAAATTCTTCACTACTACAAATGCACAAGTTGCCTTCAGAAAGTTTTGTAACCTCTAACCTTTGTCATAAAGGTTTGCATTTGTATTATATAGTATTATATATCTTATAGAGTTATATATGAGAAGTATTACATATATTGCCAAGATTTATGGTGATTTAATTGCCAGGATGTGGTTTTGTGTAGAGTGTAGAGCCTCCCTCAAACTCAAGGTCGCTTTACAAAAAGGTTACATAAAGCTTAAAATATCAAATTGCTGGTTGACATTTGTAAAGAAAACAACAACAGCAATAAAATCTGAAATAACTCCAAAGCTCTAAATAAACTATAAAAAGTACAAAACAGTGCATCAGGTCTTTCTGCTGTTCTTGAAAGCAGCTCAAAGGTAAAAAAAAAGGGTTCAAAACAACCTTGTCTTGAGTTTAAGTACAACACCATTTCCAAAAAAAGTTGAAACGCTGTACAAATGTAAATAAAAACAAACTGTGCACTGAAAACAAGCTGAGTGGTCTTTAGCCCGGAGGACACAGTGTCCATGATTTCCAAAAAGAATTTCACATGTTGACCACAGGACACTTTGCCTCAGTCCATTTTAAATGAGCTCGAGCCCAGAGAAGGTGGCAGCGTTTCTGGTTTCTGTTTATATCTGGTTTCTTCTTTGCATTTTAGAGATTTAACTTGTAGTTGTAGATGCAGCGGCAAACTGTTTTCACAGACAGTGGTTTTCAGAAGTGTTTCTGAGCCCATTAAGCGATTTCCACTACCTTGTCCCTTACATACAGAGATTTCTCCAGGTTCTCTGAATTTTTGTAATGATATTATGTACCGTAGATGATGAAAAGAAAAGGTTCTTTGCTATTTTACGTGAGAAATGTTATTCTTGAATTTGATCGTGCAGTCTTTCACAGAGTGGTGAACCCCTCCTCATCTTTACTTCTGAAAGCCTCTCTGAGATGCTCTTTTATACCCAATCATGTTACTGACCTGTTGCCAATCAACCGCCAGGTATTTTTATAGCATCACACAACTTTAACAGCCTTTTGTTGCCCCCGTCCCAACTTTTTTGGAACTTTGTTGGCATCAAATTCAAAATGGGCACATATTTTTCAATAAACAATACAATTTTGGTTTCAGCATTTGATTTGTTGTCTTTGTACTATTTAAAATTACATATATGGTTTAAATGATTTGCACATCATTGCATTTTGTTTTTATTTACATTTTGCACAGCGTCCCAACTTTTTTGGAAATGGGGTTGTAGTTTAGCTTATTAAAATATGTGATTACCTTGAGTTTAATTAACTTCAAATAATTATGCTGTTATATTCCAAGAAGTCTAATGTTTTTTCAATACTTTCAAACAGAGGGTTTGAGAAAGGACTACTTTAAGTTAAAGTACTTTAATATAGTTAAAAATGACTTCTTTTAGCTTCAAGAACATAATGAAGTTACATGTTCCCAGGTACTTTTGTAGTGCAATTGAAACTTTTATCAACCCCTTAAAATCCCAAGTGTATTACATACTAAGGCTCATTATTCCCTAAGGGACGTTAATGCAAATTGGCTGAGCTATTCTCAGGTTATAGATATGTGTAATAACACTTTGGGCCCACCGGTGAGCTCTGGCCATTTGATAGATTAAAAGTTCAACTCATAAAGGATAGAGTTTAAAGAGTCGGACTTCTTTAGGAATACTGCATGCCTATCTTGCACCTTTTAAGCTAGAACAAGACATTTTACACTGTTCGATTTCATTTGTATGCTTATTTACACTGGGTCAGCATTCCCTCTGTAGACTAACTGCTGCTGTTCTTGCAAATAGTTGGTGTTATTTCTATCTTCAAAGTGTGGGAGTTTGCAGTGGCTTGAGTCCAAACAGGCAGAGATTTCTTTCGGCAGAGCCCAGAGTCTATGCAAAAGTGATTAGAGCCGCCCAGTTCAGCTTGATCAGCAGACTAGGAGTGTTTAAGGAGCAGGAAGTCAGACAAATGGCATTTGGCTGGAACCTGCTGCAGCCGCCCGCTCATTCGGCTCAGAGAGAGATGTGCTGGAAATACAGTCGCTATTGATAAGGCTGCTGAACGTGCGCTTTGTTTGCTGAGTGCTGCTGTTAGGCCATTTTTTCACAGCTTCCTTTTCCCTGGCTGTGTGTCTGTGCTTGTTTTTGTACAGTTTTAAGAGGACAGTGTCCTGACTTTGCAGGAAAAACAGAGGTAACCGTCCTTATCAGGGGCAGGAAGATGGCCCTGACTTTCTGAAGTGCTTTTAAGAATATTTATGAAACAGAAAGAATTTACTTTATGGTTACTGAGGTTGAGGTTAGAGTTACGTAGACCTCCTTGTATCTATACTTACCGTCCATTGTTTCAGCTCCATTTACCATATAGGTGCATTTCCACCCTCTTCTTCAATGGTCAGGACCCTCACAGAGCAGGTACTATCTGGGTGGTGGGTCATTCTCAGCACTGCAGTAACACTGACGTGGTGGTGGTGTGTTAGTGTGTGTTGTGCTGGTACGAGTGGATCAGACACAGCAGTGCTGCTGGAGTTTTTAAACACCTCAGTGTCACTGCTGGACTGCTGAAAATAGTCCACCAACCAAAAATATCCAGGCAACAGCATCCTGTGGGCAGCGTCCTGTGACCACTGATGAAGGACTAGAGGATGACCAACACAAACTGTGCAGCAGCAGATGAGCTGTCGTCTCTGACTTTACGTCTACAAGGTGGACTGACAAGTTAGGAGTGTCTAGTAGAGTGGACAGTGAGTGGACACAGTGTGTAAACCTCCAGCAGCACTGCTGTGTCTGATCCACTCAGACCAGCACAACACACACTAACACATAACCACCACGTCAGTGTTACTGCAGTGCTGAGAATGATCCAACACCCAAATAGTACCTGCTCTGTGAGGGTCCATGGGGGTCCTGACCACTCAGGAACAGGGTAAAAGGGGGCTAACAAAGTATGCAGAGAAACAGATGGACTACAGTCTGTAACTGTAGGACTACAGAGTGGAACTATATGGTCAGAGGAGCTGATAAAGTGGACAATGAGTGAAAGAGTTAACATTTCTTATCAGGGGAGACCTCATGTCCTGGTATAAAAACAAGTGTGTGTGTTTGTGTGTTCCAGTTCACCCGCGAGAGTAAAACAGCAAACAGCACCAATCGTTTGGACTTCAGGCCCCATCCGGAGCACAAGCCAGATGTGATTGTGAGACGGCATGCGCTGCGCCGATCTGAGGTTTGGGCTACATGAAGAACTTTATCACATCACACTAAGGGTGTAGTTTTGGTTTCAGTACTTGGTGGAGGGCCCCATTTTAGACCCCTCTTCTGCTTAACTTTTTGGATATTTCTATCTTCATCTTCATGATTATAGCTTTAGATTATAGCTAGGAAATGGTGCAGACCAGGTCCATACATTACAAGTGTAGTCGAGATGGATTTTTGATGTTATCATGCTATTTTGATCTTCTGGATTACAAAGACCAGGCACTGTGCACTATTTAAACACACTGTAGGTCCAAAAGTTTGTAGACACCTGATCATCCAATGTTTCTTCTGGAATCAAGGGTATGAATAGAGAGTTTGTCTCCAATTTGCTGCAGTAACAGTCTTCTGAGAAAGCTTTACACTAGATGTTGGAACCTTGCTAAGAAGATTTAAATGCACTCAGCCACAAGAGCAAGTACTAATGTTGGTTGATCAGGTCTGGATCACAAATGCCGCTCCAACTCATCCCGAAGGTATTGGATGCTTGGCACTAGGCATGGTGGCTGGCTGCTCCAAGGCCATTCTACTGTCAGTGCTTTTCTATGGAGAAAAGATGGGTCATCAATTAAGCACCCATGTCATCAATCAGTGCAGCTTCAAGGAAACTCAATTCACAAATTACTCCAGCAGCACTGCTGTGTCTGATCCACTCAGACCAGCGCAACACACACTAACACACCACCACGACATCAGTGTTACTGCAGTGCTGAGAATGACCCACCACCCAAATAGTACCTGCTCTGTGAGGGTCCATGGGGGTCCTGACTATTGAAGAACAGGGTAAAAGAGGGCTAACAAAGTATCAGAGAAACAGATGGACTACAGTCTGTAACTGTAGAACTACAGAGTGCACCTATATAGTAAGTGGAGCTGATAAAATGGACAATGAGCGTAGAAACAAGGAGGTGGTCATAAAGTTATGCCTGATCGGTGCATAATAGAAGTCAGTGGGCATAGACTTCAGCATGTTGTTACTGTCTTCTACTATCTTTAAATGTTCTCATAATAGAAGTGAATGGGTAGATGCCTCAGCGTTTGGGCATCGGCTTCCACTATCTGTAAACACACATAATAGAAGTCATTGGGCAGATGTTTCCATGTACTTAGCAAAACAACCGAAAACCCATTGACTCAGTGCATGCTTGTAATAGTGCTGAAGCATCTATGTACCTATTGACTTCACACATATAAAAGTCAATGAGCAGGTGTTTCAGCCCTTGCTTATTTGATTCAACTGTCTGTAAACACACTTACAATAGAAGTCAATGGGAAGATGCAGGATCATGTTGTCCCATTGACTTGGTCTTCTCCGTTCCCAGTTCACTGGTGAGTATCCCCTCTGTCTGCAGGGTCTTCCGCCCAGGCTACTCCTGTTCCATCATGACACAGCCAAATCGCACAACCTGGTCTCGCTCTATGATGAGTCATATGGCCGGCAGCGCTCCTCTGACCTCCCTGCCCTCCGCACCTGGCACTCTGACAAAATGGGCTGGATACCCGAGAGGTCTGATCACCCGATCCAAGGTATTACACACCTTTTAGCTGCAGGTAGCCCAGAGTGACCACAGCACCACTGTGTTCATTGTCTGTGTTAATAGTTTGCAGTTAGTGTTTGATTTATTCCCCTTAACTGCAGGCTTGTTATTCAGTTACTATGAATTGTTCAGTAACTACAGTGAAAGTTCTGTTGTTTTGAGAGTGAGGAATTGAAGTGAGGCCACGTCCAGAACTTTGGAGTTTAAAGGCTTAAAAATATCATGTAAAAATTATAGTTTTATACTTATATGTAAAATGTTCATTTGAGGACTATTAGGTGTGAAATGCTAGTTAATTTTGGATTAGATTTTGTAAAAAAATGTACAATCATCTCACTGTTTTAACAAAAAATGAGAGGTGTTCTGGACTTTAATCTATGTTAATTACTATAGTACATTAAGATCTTGGTCTCACTTTATATTAAGTGTGTAGTTACACATAAACAATACATGCAATAACAATGTATCTACTGGTAACGTTATCACTATTACAGATGGATTAATGTAGTACAGCTTATATGAATACATGTGTACATCAACTTCAGTTTTTACCCCTGAAATTACACAAGTGTATCTTGATAGTTAAGCATTTTCTTATGTAATTACACCTGTAATAGGGTGAGGGTAATTACATTTGTATACTTTTCTGATTGTAAGTAAATGTGTTGCATTTTTTGACCCCAAAAGTAATAAAGATTATGATCTGTAGTTTCACTGTTCCTGTGTAACAGCAAAAGCTTAACTTTTACATGTTTACTGTGGAATTTTTGTGTTGAAACATGGTAACTTGATCAAAACCCATAGATCACAGCACCTATATAAAGATAAATCTTTTAAAGATAAATGATTATCTGCTGTTGTTGTGTAAATACAGTTACAAGGGCAAAGCCAAAGCTTTGGTTAGGTTACCATGTCACCACACAAGCATAAACTACAGCTAGATAAATGTTAGGAAAGTTGGCATTTCCTATGCAAATGCAGTATAAGTACTCTCATAATACAGGGAACTGAAGTGACATGTCTAATTACATAATGGAGAATTTGATGTTGCAACTATCAAGATACACTTGTGTAATTAAAAGAGTAAAAACAGAAAAAGTGCATTTACATAAGCTGTACTACTGTAATCCTTCTGTAACAGTGAATACTTCACCTGTAGTTACATTGTTGTTGCGTATATTGTTAACTACACGGCTATTAGACACAATATAAAGTGGGACTAAAATATTTATAGTGCTGCATAATATTTCTGTAATTTTTATACTTTTGTCTCTTACATTCCTGTAGTGCTGTTTAATAGTAATCTTATAGATATAATACAGATCTTTTTTGAAAGGAATGTAACTAGATTTTAGTACATTTTGTGAAATGATCCACCTCAAATGTACTGCAAAAGCTCCAAAAGAAAGGTTTGAATGCAGCTCTAAAAGTTTTATCCAGAAAGATGGTCTAAATGTGTTCCAGAGGAAGGCAAATATACATTAATGCTGTTATGCCAGCACAGTTATCCACTACTCTGTCTGACTGCTGGGTAAAAAGCGAGTTTTAAGTCTTTTTAAGCAGAAGATCTCTTTAAGGCTCCACGTCACTTAGCAAGTTAATAGTTCCCCTTTCTGTCAACATTCTGTTTAACAGGCTTGTCACAATTACTACATGATTGCCTAATCACAGTTATTACACTGACTGCAATCATTTTCCACAGTTATTGCATTTTGCAGTTACACTATAATGCTGCAACAAACAAATGTGTAGCAAATAAATGAAAATAAAGGAAATCAGTAAATGTTTTCATTGAGACGCTTATGAAAACGAAAAAAGTCTAACTTGGTGTGCTAACATGTTTAGAGGGCAGCATATCACTGTTGTCGGAAGAAAACCTTGTATCTCCGAAATGGTAACTTTACAGGAGAAGCAAAAAACCTACTCTACTTTCAATGCAAGTCAATGGAACCAGACTTTTTTCCAAGTCATTTTGGGTCATTTCTTTTGGTTCATTCATCATGAAATTTCCACACAATGTAACGACAAACAGTTATTTTCAAATTATGTCAAAAACTGAAAAACGACAAAAATTGAGATACAAGGTTTTGTTCCAAAAACAGCGATATGAGGTGTTTTTTAGCATGTATGCTTATTTTTTCTCTCTTGGGAAGAACATGTAGCTTTGCTCGACTCTACACATAATTCTGTGTAACTGTAGACGTTTGTGTGAGCTTTGATTGGACAGAACAATCAGTGTTGGCTACTAAGTAAACATAGCTAGCAGGTAAGGTGGCTAATCAGTTTGACCACTTTAGGCTTGTACTTTTAATACTTGGATTCAATGAACAAGAAAAGACAATTAAATTGTTAATTGCTATTTGTTTATGACGGTCATCAGCTAAAATTTCATGATCCTGAAAGCCTTAATGTCCACATTTTGGAAGGCTGTGTTTTCTTAAAGGGAGATCACTGCTGCTTGCATTACAAGTCAGACCTGACTGAAGAAAATTCTCCTGGTGGTCAGAACTGAGCTAGCAGCGTTTCTCAAAATGATCCATTACAAGTTCTTAATTAGTTCTCTCAGATGAAATGAGATTATTATCCTTTGAGCTTCCTGGAAAAAAGTAATCTCACTATTCATTACTTTTTACATTAATCTGTAAAGCCTATTTGTACAAGAAAAGACATTTTCAGTCATTTATTAAGAAAGAAATAACCAAAAACCCACAGTAAGTAGTTTAAAAGGCATGCCACAGTTCCAGCCTTTGGACATGATACAGCCAGTTATGCTAAAATCATGAACAGTTCTGAAACTGGCCAGTTAGTCCAAAAACAGATGGCTTGAAATAAAATCTTTGTGTATAAAATGTAAAGCTTGAAGAGCTGTTCCTGGATGAAAATTGAGCCTGGCCTGTTGAGAGATGCAGAGATGGCAGGAGTACACAAGTCCCTCACTCTAGAAAAAGCAGGCCTGGATTTTATGGGCAGGAGCTCAAGGGGCCACTAGGAGCCACTAGGGGGCGATCACAGGCAATTATGAGAAAATCTAACAGCTATTCTGACTCACACAGTGCAAGAAATATATGTTAACACTTTGTTTTGATAGTAGACGCTTTCTAGATGCTCAGTCTGTATTGAACTAACATTTAACTAAATATCTATTCAATGCCAATGAAGCTGAAGTTGAGTGTAGATTCTATTAAACCTAAGCCAAACCTAAACTTCAGCACAAAACTAACCCTTATCCTAAAGATGTATCACCAGAAAGTTTGTTGATCATGTAAGTGTCAGTAGATCAGCTGTAAGGACCATCAAAATAAAGTGTGACCAGATGAACTAATTTCAAACTTGTCATTGTGTTATGGATGATCATAATTCGGAATCTCTCCAAATGTTTCCTAAATACTAGCATCATTTTACGTATTGCATGCCAAGGCTTATTATTCAGTAACTACAGGGACTTTAGTGCAAACTGGCTGAGCTGTTCTTAGGATATAGAAGCGTGTAATAAAACTTTGGGCCTGCTGGTGGGCCCATTAAAGGGGTTAAAGAAAAAGGCTACATCGTCCTTGTTGGCAGAGATCTGCAAACTGTCTACTACTTCAGCGTATAAAGTAATCAGAGGATTTAAGTGGGATATATAAATTAAAAAAAGCATTTTTTTTTTGGATCTCTAAGTTCACTGATTTTTCGTTTTTATTATGTAAATTTCATCTGCCTGATTTTAATTTTTGTCTTCTTCATTAGGGAAAATGTTATGTTATGTTAACCTGGGCCCTCGTTAATGTAGGTGTTTGGTCTCAATTGGAAAAAAAAGTGCGATGACATAACCAACACTATTGTGTGGGCCACGAGTTGCAAAAGTTTGGGAACCCCTGATGCAGAGAAAGGACTGTTTTATTTTGTTCATTCTGTTTTGTGACTTTCAATGAGTGTGTATACATGCACTCCATAATCCGATCATAATCGGATTTCTGCAGTTATCTGATTATCAGATTTCTTAATCAGATTTCTAGATCGGAGTATGGTGACCATTTGAATAAAGAGGCTGGATTTGAGCTCAGTAATCAGATTTCTCAGCGCATGTAAACTCTTACTCTGATTTCTATCGGATTTCTCAGTCTGAGCATGCGCGAAAACAGACGGCGGATGTCACCAGATGGCAGCAAAACACTTTTGGAGCGCCGCTGAAACCAAACAGGAAATAAAGGATTTAATGCATGTTCATATTTTCAGGTAAAGCGGCGATGTTTTTAAAAAAGCTGTATGAAGTTTGAGTTTACATTATATTTACGTCGTGTCTTCTTCTGTGAGTTTATTGGCTGGTTGCAAAGCAGAAATCTGATTACTGTCTGACTCATGTAGACCTGGAGTTTCCCATTATCTGATTACCCAAGTGCATGTAAACTTGTTGATCGGATTATTGCCAAAATCTGATTTTCTGCAGTTATCAGATTATTAAGTGCATGTAAACACACTCAGTGATAATTCAGCTACCAGTTACCTCAGATGGAGCCATCACACTTGGCTGGTCTCAAGAACAATTTCTGAGTCCTTCTTATCCTGAGATTGACATAAGCCTGAGTCTAAATGACGTTGAGACTGAGATCGCTAGTTTATGGTTTTGAGACTCGATAACTACAACACTACTGTAATGCATTACACTACTTTGTTACTGTAATGTGTTACGTTGAAACACGTTACTGTGTATACTGTGCATTAGAGGGGGCGCTCAAGAGCAATGAAGCTAGCGGAACCTGAGACAACCCACCGGCTCTACTCCAAGCTGTAAAGGAACCTGGAAGAATAGCGGAGGACTTATGAAACACAATTATTACACGCACAGACCAGGAGGGCACTTATACAACTTAGGATAAAAGGGTTGGAGCTCAAGGCCCATCTGGGGTCTTTTTTTCCACAGATCTGAACCCCTCAAACGTGTCTGTATGTGGCTCCACACAATACCAACTCGTTACAGTAATTACTTACCAGTGTTTACTGTGAGATATCTCTAGATAAATAGCCAGCGTTCTAGTCAAGACAATTAGAGGTAAATCCCAAGACTTTGTATCTGTCAAGACTGAGACTCAGACCAGATTAAGACTTTTTCAGAATGGAAAAAGAAAAGAAAAATTGATATATTGTTCGTTGTACAGTCAATATCATTCATTCTTAATTATATACATTTATAGGTTATATTCTAACATATATGATATAATCGATCATATGATTTGTAAAATATAATATGAAATCATATGTATCTTATTAATTATTATTATATTATAGTCTAAGTCCAACGTTCCAACTACTGGAAACAAATGATGGTGAGGTTATTCTCTGTCACTTCTCTAAATCTTAGTCAGACTCATCACCTGAAGTCTCACACCAAACAATGTAAATCTTAATTTTTATTAAAATGTTATTACTTTGTTTTTTTAATAAAAAAAAAACATAGTAATAATAACATTCTGATCTGTCCCAGGATGTTTGAACTTTGGAACAAACAAGCAACAACAAACAAATAATACCCCGATAATCCATCAAGGAAAGAATCAATGTAATCAGCAGAACAGATTTTATTTAAACATGTAGGAAAACGACTTTCAAAGGACAGTAAAGAACTTAGTTCTGGGTGGTGTCGGGACCAAGAGCTATTTTCTTCCTTGCCCAAAGCCCCGACATATGATGGTTTTTAAAATCTAAACTATTCTGTGCTGTGGTTTTGTTCTAATTATTGTCTTAATCACTTACAAAAATAAACAAAAATAAAATAAACAAAAATAAAATAAACAAAAATAAAAAGCATATTCAACCAAAAATAAAAGAAAGTAGAATAAAAGACTTCAGCCGCTGAGTTCTTTATCTGGGGTAATGTGATATCCCCCCGTCTTACTTCTCAAATTTTGATATTAGCTCATTCTCTAATAGGTGCATCTCTTCGTCCATCAGTTTGGCCATCGCATGATGAGCTCACTCCTCAAAACAGGCTTCAACAGGTCTTTACCAGCCTGCTCTACCTTTCAAGGTCAACCTGCCCCTCTCTTCACTGGGTCAGTAGGTACACACAGGCCTCTCTGTGAACCCAGCTGCTTTCCATTGTCTAGAATCTCCTATGCAGACAGACAAAGGCCTCCCTTTGGCCTCCTATTCTATGTTAGGCAATACTTCCTATTTGGTTATTGATTACAATATTTAATCTATTTGATTACTGATAAAGGGAATATTTATTCAAAATCTCCGTCAGTGGGTATTGCAGGTAACGCTGCACTGGTACAACAGGATTTTGCACTAATCCTGGGACTTGTTTAACCAAGATATAAGACCTATTTTAATCTTATCTTCCCAGATCAAAGACTTAAAGACTTGGTGTGGTTAATTCCTGTCATACACTTCCAGAAAAAAAGGTACTGGACTGTCACTGGGCTGGTACCCGACTTGTTACCAGGCTGGTACCTTCAAGCATATATACAACTTACTGCACTATTCTGCCCATATTCACTCACACAATTGACTAGATTTACTCAGAAACGTGTATAAACAAACTAAGCTTTTATTTTTTTCTGTCGAGTGTGAAAACAAGAGAGGAACACTGGTTCTGTGGCTATTAGCATGAATCCTAATAGCTTTAGCTTCTTAACTGGCTTATGTCACTTTATGTCAAACTATAAAGCAATACTTCTACAAAGAACCAGTCGAAACACCAAAATAGCATCATAGCATCCTAGTTTAAATGGTGGTGCCCACATTGGTGATGCGGTAGTGCTTGGAAGTTTCACTTCATCTGGTAAAGGATTTCTTAAATTGTTGTTAGATTCAGCTGTGTTACCAAAGACAGAGGATCCTTCAGTGGGTTTAACACTACACTGTTAGTAATAAAGGTTCTGTGCAGATACATTTTTCGTCCATCAAGGTATAAACAGTGTAAATGTTCCCTCAAAGGTACAACAGTGGTTTTAAGGTCTGATTGTGAACCTTAAATAAGTTTTTCCAGGTGAAAAGTTCGTATTTTACATCTGGGTGGATAATTTGCAGCCAGACGGCATGAAAGCAGCTCAATTTATGGCACAATTTAACAATAAACTCAAACATAACAGACAAAATATTAGCAACTATGGTGAAGTCTTGCATTTGAGGCTGTAATCACAAATGTGCTCAATGGATCTTACTTATGATTTTCCCATTTTACAGCTTTCAAAAGCAGCTGTAGCTACTATAAGCCAGAATCTCAGAAATAAAGGTGCCAAACTGGGGCAATATCCCTCTTCTCACTGGGGTGGAACCCTCAAGGCTCCATCTCAGTACCTTTAGTCAGGGAACATAACTGAACCATAATCCACTGAAATGATATGTTCTAAGCTGTACTGACTCCACACACCCCGTCTCGTCTCCAGGACTTTATTTTACTGTTCTGTTTAAAACATTCGGTTATGAAAAGATACAAATACGAACTTTTCACCTGGAAAAACTTATTTAAGGTTCACAATCAAACCTTAAAACCACTGTAGAGCCTTTGAGGGAACATTTACACTGTTTGTACCTTGATGAATAAAAGAAGGACCTGAACAGAACCTTTATTACTAACAGTGTACAGTATTGACAGTGAGGCATCTCTGAATGTGCTTTTGGATCAGCACCCAAGTTGAATGGCAAGTTTTGATCACATTTTACTGAAGCTTCAAATGCAAGACTTCACCATAGTTGCTAATATTTTGTCTGTTAGGTTTGAGTTTATTGTTAATTTGTGCCATAAATTGAGCTGCTTTCATGCCGTCTGGCTGCAAATTATCCACCCGGATACAAACATTCTGATTTTTTATTTTTTTAGTTTATTCTTTTGTTGATATCCGTTTATGACAGAAAAAAAAGTTCAGTTTCAAAAGACCTCAGATGGAGACACTGCGCATCCAAAGGCCGAGACAGGACCGTTAATTTAAGCTCTCAAAATCGAGAACTGAATAATAAGCCTTACATTTAAGGGGTCCACATTCTAAACTGTCTGTAATACAATGCAATCAAAACATCAGTTATATGATACCAGTGCAATAAGCGAAACAGGCTTGTTGTTTCATGATCAGTACTGTACCACGAGTAGCAGAAGCTAAAAGTTAGCAGAGAGAGTGTTCCAAATCTGTCAGTAGGGTAATTAATGACTGCAGTGCAGAACAGCTGAGTCCTTCTCTCCTCCTCTCTCTCTCTCTCTAACACACACACACAGGTCCTCCGACGAACTGGGGTCTGCTGGAGTCATTGCGGGTGCGGGTGGCGCAGCAGCAGGGTGTGTTGCCCACGCTGAGTGTGTATAAAGGCGCGTATCCTCTGCACCCCACAAGCGCTTTCTGCCAGCCTCGCCATGCCAGAGCGCCACGCCTCATCTCCGGCAACAAGAGAAACCTGGAGCTGGACCACAGGCCCAGAAACCCAGCCAGCCTGCTGCCGCCGCTGCCATGTGTCTAACCCTGCTGTAGCACAAACAGGCCATGTGCTGTTACCACGATTAAAAGTTACAGTTTACAAAACCCTCTCAAGTCTGAAGAACCTCCATCACGTAAAGATTTCATACCAATTAAAGGTTAACGTTTAAAGAAGCTCTACATAAAGTAAACGTTCTGTGCCAATTAAAGGCTAAAGTTCTATAACAAAAGTTAAAGGTTAAAAGAACCTCTATATGATGTTAAAGTTCTATACCAATTAAAGATCAAAGATTAAAGAACCTCTATATAATGTTAAAGTTCTATACCAATTAAAGATCAAAGATTAAAGAACCTCTATATGATGTTAAAGTTCTATACCAATTAAAGATCAAAGATTAAAGAACCTCTATATGATGTTAAAGTTCTATACCAATTAAATATCAAAGATTAAAGAACCTCTATATAATGTTAAAGTTCTATACCAATTAAAGATCAAAGATTAAAGAACCTCTATATGATGTTAAAGTTCTATACCAATTAAAGATCAAAGATTAAAGAACCTCTATATGATGTTAAAGTTCTATACCAATTAAAGGTCAAAGATTAAAGAACCTCTATACGATGTTAAACTTCTATACCAATTAAAGATCAAAGATTAAAGAACTTCTATATCATGTTAAAGTTCTATACTAATTAAAGGTTAAAGTTTGGTGTGTGGTTGGTCATTCTCAACACTGCAGTAACACTGACGTGGTGGTGGTGTGTTAGTGTGTGTTGCGCTGGTCTGAGTGGATCAGACACAGCAGTGCTGCTGGAGTTTTTAAACACCTCAGTGTCACTGCTGGACTGAGAATAGTCCACCAACCAAAAATATCCAGCCAACAGCATCCTGTGGGCAGCGTCCTGTGACCACTGATGAAGGACTAGAGGATGACCAACACAAACTGTGCAGCAGCAGATGAGCTATCGTCTCTGACTTTACATCTACAAGGTGGACTGATAAGGTAGGAGTGTCTAATAGAGTGGACAGTGAGTGGACACAGTGTTTAAAAACTCCAGCAGCACACAGTGTCTGATCCACTCACACCAGCACAACACACACTAACACACCACCACCACATCAGTGTTACTGCAGTGCTGAAAATGATCCACCACCCAAATAGTACCTGCTCTGTGAGGGTCCATGGGGGTCCTGACCACTGAGGAACAGGGTAAAAGGGGGCGAACAAAGTATCAGAGAAACAGATGGACTACAGTCTGTAACTGTAGAACTACAAAGTGCACCTATAGACTAAGTGGAGCTGATAAAATGGACAATGAGTGTAGAAACAAGGAGGTGGTCGTAATGTTATGCCTGATTGGTACACACACACATGCACATATAGAATGGGGAGTAGTTAAGAATCTGGGATTTTCCACTGACGAGAGAGCCTGCTTTTGCACAAACATGTGGTGTGCATGCTGTCCTTAAAGCAGAAGGGCAACATGTTGTACCAAATACTAAGAAATTCTGAAATTCATATTAAAATGTCAAAGATTCTTCTCTTCACTCAAATTGTCATGCTGTTAATAACATTTATGATGAAAATGTTTGTATTAAAAGAAAGCATTTTTACTAGTGATCTAAGACTTTATGGACCTTGTTGTGTGTGTGTATATATATATATATATATATATATATATATATATATATATATATATATTATACACACACATTATGTATATATATACATATATATATATATATATATATATATATATATATATGCATGATATCTGTTTATATGTAACTGTCTGTATGTACCTGTGTGCAAGAGAGAGAGAGAGAGAGACATAGAGCGAGGGAGAGAAATTGAATTGGCTCTATTTGCTGAGCCGTGTTTATCAATTTAGCCAATAACGACCTGCAAATTCTATTTCTCGCACACATTTGCCGTGAATATAATCTGCTTCATTATTGTCCCAGAATAGCCTCGCGGAGGCACGAACTGTTCAGTTTGAGAACGTTGACTCATTCGTGGGGGGGATTCTGAGGGGACCTGTCCAACTCCCATCCCATTAGGTGTTTAATTACAGTGAATCAGAGTGTTTAATTACTAGAAATTAAAGATGCTTATATTTGATGGTCAACCATCTGTGTCACAGTGTTCCTGCTGTCTAGCAATACAGCTAAACCCCTCCGTCTCTCTTTGTCCGTCAGTCATACAATGGAAACGTGTGCATTTGTGTCGCAGCACCGGTTTCAACAATCCACCGCACCGACCACATGATGGTGCTGTAGTTACAGATCACAGACGTGGAAGCAGGCCATCGCGGTGCAGTGTATCATTCGCCATTGTTTCATCTACGCTTGCTTTGATTGTTCTTGTGTAGAACTAACCAGGGCTTGATCACACATATTCATTTGTAAGGCACATTGTACTGCAGGCTTTATTGTTTCATTAGCTCAGTTGTTTCGCATTGATTTTGCGCAGCCCTTATAAAAGCTCTTTGGTTACTTTTTACTGAGTATTACTTTACTTTCATCTGACTTTTAAAAAAAAAACATAATCCGAGGCTTGATTAAAATGTATGAATACATTTTCTTGTAAGCAGTGACAAGTACAGCCTCACACACAGAACAATAGGCTTACACCAGATGTGTTTATTACCTTTCTGTCTTAACTGTTCTATATTATACTACACAACATATAGAAAATGATAACTGACACTATAGATTCCCTGAAGATACATCATGTATTTGGAGAGGAAGTGGATTAAGATTATAGGAAGGTGGTACATATTAAAGTAGCATTACAAAGCATGACATTAGCCTGTGCTCATTTGACAGTGTTGCACTTAACAGTTAAGACAAGGGTTTAAATGAAGGACATGGGAAGAACATGTTCAATGATTTATCATCTTGAATTATTCATGAGGGCAAATTCCCAAACAGGAGTAAAAAGCATGCAGGCCATGAATATCCGTATGCCATCTTTCGTAAATCCTGGAAATGACAAGCGTTTGTGCTGTTCATTACAGCAGCTTTAGTAATTGCAGCACTGCTTTGCTCTACACATTGACTGGTTGACGTTTTGCTTATAGTGCTCCAGAGCAGTATATCTGAGTGAAACACTTTAAGCAGGAGCGCTAGAGCATTAGCAAGATTTAGGAGTTTACTTACTACTCAAGGGTGGATGGAACCCCCCCCCAATAACAAACAGCTCTCATCGGAAAAGCAGATTTATCTAGCAGAGAGTGCACAATAAATCTGATCTAGCTTTACAATTACAGGCTATAATAGCCTTGATATTTCACTTCTACTGCCACTGATTAAGACGACTGTGCATTCCAGTAACATATCAAAGGCTTAATCTGATCTCCGACTATGAACATTGAGTGTTTGCTCTTACCACTCTGGCTTTCACTTGCATGAGCTGACCTTGCTCAAACGCTGGTTTGAATGGTGCTTTTATCGGGCAGAGCAAGGACAAAAGGGAACAAAATGCCCTTGGCTGCCGAGAGGACCTTTAAATCCTCTGCCACAAAGCCTGGAGATATCTCGTCAGCCAAGAATCTCATGGTGAACTGCCGACTGACGCAGTATATAATGTCATCCATGGCAACGCACTGGAAGGCAGGGCAGTGGGGCATTCGCTTGGAGCAGCACTCGTACCAAAGCCTGGCCACAGCATGGTAGCGGTACACACTGATGCCCATGGAAGGGCTCACATCAAAGCGGTAAAGGAAGTTCCGCACTGCTACCATTTCTGTGGTCCTTTCTTTGCTGCCCACTATCAAGCTCTGCCTCCATGTGTCAGTCTTGGGGTTGTAGCGTAAGAGTGTGTACCTCAATGTGCCTCCTGAGACAAACAACTCTCCATTGCAGGCCGTGGCCCGATGGGCGACGGCGAAGGTCTCATTGGGCAGTGGTGCGACAAAGCTCCATCTGTTGGTCCTGGGGTCATAGCGCTCCACTGTTGACAGACACTCCCCTCCAATGGCATAGACATGGTCCTGTAGGGTAACAAGCTTACAGTGAGGCCTGGCTTCATTCATTGGACAGATTTCACTCCAAATTGATGTCATGGGATTGTAACAAAAGACCTTCCTTGAAGGCACCGCTACACGGTCAGTCCCTTGAAAGCCTACAGCCACAAACAGGTAGTTGTCCATGGTGCACATGGCACAGCCCCTAGATAGGACTTCCTGAGGGATTTGGCACTGAGGGTGCCAGGTGTCTTTGTAGTCATCATAGTAATACAGTCCACTGGACGCTTTATTGGCCTCAGAAACTGTAGACTGTGATGAAAGTCTGCTCCACTCTGGCGACTCCATGTCCGCCACCATTAGGCATCTTCTGCCTCTCATGCGCTGTCTCTGGATCTGATCCCGCTCACCTGCTTTCAGTCGGCCATACAGGGCCGGATCTCGTAGGACTTGGAAGTAATTGTCCGACATAACGCGGAGGGCAGCCTCCTGGAGAGCACTGTGTCTGTGTTTCTTGGCTAGCATCAGTGCCTCCACACAGTTGCCTAAATCAAGCTTGCCAGTTAAACTCTCCAGTTCTGTACTTCCCATGTTCTCCTGAGGAAAGTTTAGAAACTTGGCCCCGGCCACTGTTTCTACTTCTGGCTCTTCTGAAGAATCCCTTCTGAGGTCTCGTGTTTCTTTATTTGTGTCAGAAGAGCTTTGTGACACCTCACTGGAAAGGGCTGCTGAACGACCACATGGTGTTGAGCTCACTGAAGGCGGGAACGGGATCTGTAGTTCGGAGTCCACGGCAGCAGCAAGGTAGCTATCCTTCCGAATCAGTCCATGTCTAAGAAGTTTTACAGGTTCTGATTTGATCGGAGAGACAAGCTCCCCATCCGACTCATGAGATACTTCTATATCTCTAATTATCAAAGAGGAAGGAAGAGGACTTGGTGTTCGGGGTTTATCCACACTGCTGGACAACTCTAATGGCTGCGCATCAAACAAAGTACCGGTTTCATATGGTCCAAAAGTTGGACTTAGAGAGTGAGGAGGGCTCAGGTCAGAAACTGAATGTGAGGAGGTCTCCACATAATAATCATAAATCTTTCCACGTACTCCAGTAGTCTGGTCACCTGGCCGCTCCAGGACCAGGTCAGCATTCTCCACTTTGATCTCTGCCTTTGACTTGAAACTGGAGAAGCTACCCAGGTGACCCAAGTCCTGCCTGAGCTCTCTGCCAACTTCTACGCCACCATCCAGTTTTCTTAGCAGGCATGGGGAGCGACGCCCAGTTGGACTTCCTACAGTAGTGTCAGTCTCATCAGGCAGCAGTAGAGTTAATCCTGGCTTACAGTCTTTTGTCTCACCCTTTGCCTCATCCTTATTTTGGCAAAAGTCCTCCGTGTTACTCTGCCCTGCAGTGGTAGAATGTTCCGCCGTGTCGAATCCAAATACCTCAGTTTTAGGCTGTTCCCTTTTAAGCGTGGCATTATTTTTCTCCGATTTAAAGATGTTTTGCTCAGAATCCACAGAGGATTGTCTAGACTGGCTCTCTCCATTAGTCCCCTCTTTTGCAGTTTTGTTCTGGGGTCGTAACACCGTTTTGCAGTTGCTGCAGGTTTCAGGGCCTGTTCTCGTGCCCCTGGGCAGAGGGATTCTGCTGTCAGTCTGAGTTTGGCCTTGAGCCCTGGAGCTGTAGAATCTGTAAGCCCAAGAGATGAGCAGAACGGCAGCCACAGACAGAGTCAGCTTGCCCAGGAGCTGCATGTCAAAGCGCACTCCCAGCAGATCCGCTATTGGCATTTCTAGTCTAGCAGGTTTGACGGTCAACTGGATATTGGGTGTTTACTCGGGATGCTGTCCCTAGCGCATCACAGGCAGCGAACTTGCTGATGAGGACAGCAGCAAACTGTCAGCTCTCTTTCTCTTCTCACAGAGGGACTAGGAACCTGATACTTGCGGGGGAGAGAATTTGCATGCTGCACACCATGAGGGCGGGATCTGGGTATTGTTCCACCTGGCGCAGGCAATCGCCATAAAACCACAGCACTAGAGCCATAGATATGGGACTATTTGAGTGTTTACTCTGCTAGCAATAGGGAGTTATCTCATACTTATTTGCAGTAAAAGACTCTCTTTTTTTATAGGAAGTGACTTTTTGTTGCTTAAAAAAACGAACATATAGTTGTAATAAGGAAATACTGCAGATTACTTTTCAATTCTCTTCACATTGTGTGCAATAAGGCATTTTATGTGAACCATGAGGATAAAATGAGAACTGTAAAACAAGGAGGGACATTGTTTAGGGATATTCCTCAGTATTTGCAGATCTGGTCTGTTGGATTATGAAAGAAAAGAACACACCCTAGTTATTGCAAGCATGTGGCTGCCGAACATTTGCATTTGTGTTAAGGGTGGGGAAGTCTGATATTGAACATTAAGTACATACGAGAGCTGAATGACCAGGATACAGCTGTTTGTATAGTCAAAGGTTCTTTGGCAATACAAGACATTAATCAGAAACGTTACATCATACATTAAATGTTGCCATTCTTCATATGTTTGCTAACACTTTACTGAAGTGCAGCATTCTTAAGGCTACAACACATGACAGGTGACACAAACCTGCAAAATAAATGATCAAGGCTTAGTCCAACAGGCCTCAGTTGTCATAAATGCTGCTTTTGATTTGGAATAAGCCTTTATAAATGACTATAAACTATTATAACCTATCCAAAAACATGGTCATGGTCAAGATCCTCTTTCAGAATCATTGTGGATACTCAGCAACCCCTCTGAACTTGGTCAGTGAGACAGTTGAATGTTGTCTTTTTTGGAGTGAGACACTCTACTGCTACCTAATGCCACTGTCATTTAGCTGCTTTGGAGAAACTTGAACCAGTGGACACACTTTGGTCTGAATAATTCACACTTGTGCTACACAGGACTGCTCCCTCAACCCTGAGCCTCTCATGTGTCCAGTGAACTATTTAAGAGCATCGAGTAAACAATGACTTTGGCAGCATGCGCTCGTGTCAGGCCCTGTCCATTATGGTCAAGATCAACTACACCAAATGAATTCAATATCAATATGGTATTAATCATTAACACTGCTATTGCAAAACTCATAGAAAATTATAGGCACCTTCTTTCTGAATCATAACAGCCTGTTATGGTCTAGAAGAGTCAAGAGAATAATTTACTAACACGTTCTGTAAATGCCATGTTTGTAATGCCTTATAAATGCATTATACTGTGTTACTAATAGCCACAGCATTTCCAGTGTTCCAAGCAAACTAGTACTAAAACCTTTATTTCATAAAATATTGGAAATGCTGTGGCTTTAATTAACTATATTTGTCTAAAATATGACCCACTTTACTGTTATTCGATTCCAAATAAGTGCAACTAAGTTGTTAAAAGAAATTATAACACTTTATTTGAAGACTACCTACATAAGGACTATATGACACATGCATAAGAACTGAATAACATATTTATGAAGCAATATTTGAGTATTTATGACCAGCTTATGCTAGTAACCAGAAGATGACAGAAGATGTCAACTGATGTTGTATTGACGTAAGGGACCTTAAACTAAAGTGATGGGCATCTGTTCTATTTATAACACCGTTATGAACCATCATACCCAGGTAATGAAACTTAAAAGAAAGGAAGTTTACATCAGTTCTATGTAGTTCAAAGCACTTATGTCAATAAGTTATTTACTATAGCTTACAGTATCTTACGATGACTGGCATAAGTGGCTCGCACATAGTGAAGTATTGCTTTATAAATACCTTAATCAGCGCTTGTGCATGTGTTATGATGTCGTTATGTATGTAGCCTTCAAATAAAGTGTTACCAAAGAAATCATAGTATGGCTCTGTCTGAGTTTATAACAGGTATGTTTGTTAGTCATAACATGCTATGCAAGAGTTTCTTTGGCTATGACAATATAACGTCGTATTGTATAATGAATATAAGATGTTTATTGTATATTATGGATATACTGTACAAAAGGGAACACTCAGGGCCCTCAAGGCCTTCAAAGAAGATCTCTCATTGGTTGACTCTTTGGACTGGACTGAAGGCCTAATACACCAGATTAACCACCAATATAATAGCATTGCATTTATAGTCATTTATGCAAAGTGTTAACAATTCATCATTCATTTCTTCCTGTTCTTTCTAATGGAACCGCAATACATTACAGAATACTGTTACATACAAGGTCAAATTTATGTTCATGTCTATTACATATATATACACACACACACACACACACGTTAATGTCTATTACAAGGCTATATATATATATAGATATATATATATATATATATATATACACACACACACACACACACATATATATATATATATATATATATATATATATATATATATATATATATATATATGTGTATAGTTAAAGGCACAATGTCCCCTCAGACCATCATAAGATGTAATTAATCTCTTTGTTTCCTTTCAAATGGTACAGTGCTAAAATATCACATAATATATAAGACCCTTCCTCCAGTTGAATCAATGTAACATTCCCAATAGGATTCAAACACACAAACATACCATCTTTTAAATGCAAAGTCATTTTAATTTGTGCACTCCTAAATGAGTCACAATAAAATCTATGTGTAATCTATTTCCATTCACATCTAATTTAATTTGTCTTTTGTTTTTCCAATAAACACAGGACACATTCTGCATTCTTTATCCTTTATCTGCTGGATAGTGTGGCCATAATGGACGGTTTGATCCTCCTGAGGCTGTGGATGAAAACACATGAAAACATATTCTTTCTCACATGAATGTGATCATTCGGTAAACAAACTAATGGCGTGAACGTTATTCGGGCAGAATAATTAAGCCATTAAAGCACGATTTCCAGCTCTTTCTGATGCTTTTATTGTAGTTGACGCCGCTGATTCCTTCCGTGAATATCAATTGAGATGTGAAGAGGCCGAGGAACGTACTGCAGGGGCTCTTCAAACCTGTGAAGGCATTCAAATGCAGCAAATGCTTCAGAGAATGACAGGAGGGAAAAGGAATAATATACTGACAGAATGATCATTGGAAAAAAAGCATTCTTCTGTTCATAATGTTCTCAGAGCGTCCTCAGACTCCGAGAGAGAAATGTGGGAAGGTGAAAACACAACCCAAATAGATGGGGACTATCTTCCCTATTTTACTAAGCCCATAAAATCTCCCCTCCTACCTTGGCTTCGGTCCTAATCCCTTAATACACGGTGTGTCTGGAATAGCTTAAATTGCAATTCTTCTGCAACGTGGAATAAATAAATAAATAAATAAATGAATAAATAAAAAAGTGGGATTGCTTTGCACGAGGCCAGTCTGGGAGTGGGTGAGCAGCAGAGGGCGGACTCATGCGACGGCACAAAGGGGGTTAAACAGCGCCGTCAACAGATGACACTTCCCTAATGACTTCCAAGCAGCAGGGCTTTAGAGGGTAAGGCAGAGCAGACGAGGTTTTGAAGCTCGTCCAGCTCTCATCTTTTTTGAACCCCTCTGCCATATTAGGCGCTCTGAAGCGTACTCGCAGGGGCTCACTTCAAATAAGCAGCCTGCGCCGGGGCAAGGAGAACGTGTAACGCGCCCAATGCTGGACTCATATGAAAGAGAGAGTTTAACGGTGCTTTTTGGTTCCCTTCCAAAACTACTGGACAACAAACCTGCTGAAAGGTGCTGATCATTTTTAAAGAAATGGCCCATAACCGTAGCAAACAGGGCACGGCAAATGACTAAAACTTTTGGTCATACTTTATATTGATGGCTTTTTTTGCAAACTCTTACATTGTTAAAGGTCAAATATCATGGAAATTTCCTCACTGTTTTGAAATTGATGTAGTATGTAAACAGTTTTAAAATGTACCCTTCACTAGTCGCCAGTCTGCACAGCCCATATATGGAAACTGCTCAATTTGAATTGTGATTTACATATAACTACCTGTTCAGGTACATTCATTCACTTTGAAGTTAAAAGGAGCCCAGGGATGCTTTGTGAATGAGGCACAACACACGGCAGCCAGTCGGAACAGAGATACGTGTATCAGTCTTAAAGGTGCAGTAACCAAAAAAAAACTTTTTTATGGTAAAGGAAAAAGGAAAATGGTGATGTTAAAATAAATTACAACTAATTTGGTACGTAAACCAACACAGATGTCAGTAACAAACAAATAAAAGACAAAAAAATTCCAAAAATATGGGCCTTTTTGGAAACCACTTTGTCAAACTTCTTGTCAGTCGTTTAACAAAAGTACTGTGGTTAAGATTAGAGTTAGAACTAGGGTTAGGTTTAGATTTTGAGTTAAGGTTAAAATTAGAGTAAGTGTTCATTTTTAGGGTTGGGACTAAATTTAATGGATTCACTATGGGCAAAAATGAAGTATAAACAAAAAAAACTTAACTAACTTTGTACCAAGTAAAAAATTTAAGACTTTATTTATGGATAATTAGAATTTATTCCCATTATATTTCATTTTATTACCAACTTCTTACCACTAATTAACATTTAGAAAATCAGCTAATTTTTAGGTTAGTACAACTGGTTACCATAATACTACCATATCGTTACCCCCTTATTACCATCTGTAAAGTGCTGCAGAGTTTTGCTGCAGTAACAGCCTCTACTCTATATAAAGACTAGATGTTGGAACATTGCTGTGAGGATTTGATTGCCACAAAGGCACTAGTGAGGTCAGGTACTGATGTTGGATGGTTAGTTTTGGGCCACAAACACCACTCCAGCTCATCCCAAATATACTGAATGGTGCTCTATAAGTCCACGGAGTGCTCAAAGCTTTATATCCCTCTGGTCAACACTTGGTATTGGACGACTGCACAATTGTGCGCACCTGAACACTTATGGCAACAATGTGTGCTCCTTACAGAAGCTGGATTTGCTAATTAAAAGGAGTAACTATAAACTTTTAGCCATGTTTAGTTGAATGCAAGTTGAAAACAAGCATTTACAAAGAATCTACAGTGAACCATCAAAATAAAGTGTTACCCAACAGGTAAAATGCAAAACATATGACTAAGTAAAAATTGCACCACAGCAAAAAATGCACAAAGCTGAAACTCGCAAATTAGTCAGAGAATAAATACTACTATAAATATTGACTTGGTCTTTGCAGAGGGGTAATTCTTCATTTCCAGATAAAACAGACATTAAGTGCAAGTTTATTCTTAGGTGTCACAAAACATTTAACAGAAAATGACACAGCAGCTTCAGCAAATAAACATCACTACATTTTCAGGAGATTTGCTTTCAGCATTTCAAAGAAATCTGCAGGAATGTTTTTCCACGTCTTCAAAGTCCAGTCTTAGAATTTGGTTGTATTTTCTGCTTCTTAAAATCAAAATAATCCCAAACACATTCAGTGATGATGAGGTCAGGACTCTGTGGTGGCTGGTCTTTTGTTCTGAGAACACCAGCAGCTTCTTTGTTTGATTTGCAAAATAACTTTGTTTGACTATTTAACTGTTTTCTTTTCTCAGTATTGGCTTCTTGATCAGCTACACATCCTTTCAGACCCACAGCGCTGAGTCGTCTTCTCACAGTGGAAGGATGGACAGAAACACCTGTGGATGTTTTCAGATCTGAAGCAGCTTGATTTTCTCCTCTCTCTCAGAGATGAACGCTTTATTCCAGTTTTGGAATCACCTGTTTTTTCACTTATTTGACTTTTCCCTTCCTGATGCAAGTGGATTGTCTTATATCTATCTCATATATATCTCATCTGTCTTATGTATCTCAGAAATTTCTCCTGAAAAATAAATAACTTGTACTTTTAAATTATATAAATAAAGTGTGTTCCTAGCAATAGCAAGTAAACAGGCAAATTAAATTGTATTGTCATTGTGTTTTTATTCATTGAGGGTAATTTTTATATAAGGGATCCATTTCATATATATATATATATATATATATATATATATATCTCGCTGCTGTTGGAAGAAAAGCTTGTATCTCCATTTTTGAAATGTCTGTTGATCTTTATATTGTGTGCAAATTTCACGATGAATGGATCAAAAGAAACGGCCCAAAATGTCTGGTTCCATTGACTTACATTAAAAGTAAAGTATGTTATTTCCTTCTCCTGTAAAGTTACCATTTTGGAGATACGAGGTTTTCTTCTGACAACAGCGGTGTATATATTATATATATATATATATTATATATATATATATATTGAAGAGATCCTTGTCATTGCGTCAAATACAAATGCAAATGCAAACACACTTCTTTCCTCCTCAGGACAAACCAAAACTATAACACATCCGTATCAGCACGCACAGCCATGTCGAGTTGATCATCTCCATTTTTTAATACAGGTGATATGAAACAAATGCAACAACCCTGTTTACACTCAGCTTCCTTTGAGGGAGGGAAGGAGAGAGGGGGAGAGTATGGTGGCTAACATGATCCTAGCAGTAACTGTTAGGAGAGAGTTACATACTGTACACAATGCAGGTCACTGAATATATTATGCAACAAGAAAAAGAAGGGGGTAGAAACAGGTGGGCGAGCGGTGAGGAGCAGCCGCCGAACAGATGAAAGGGGAGAAATAATCGTCAAACGTCACATGCACCACGACCCCGAGAAAGGCAGACGTACACCATGGAAAAGGATGAGTTTTTCTTTCTTTCCTCGCACTTGAGACCCGCCGCAGCGATGGTACAGGAACATATGAAATCAGTAATAGGGAAGTCTACTGATATTGATTCCACTGTTCTTTTAAAAGCCTTGGTACGCTTTCTTGGCGATGGTTACTGGGGATGACCAAATATAAGCAATAAAGCCATTAAATGCTAACCAGTTCAACTCAGCTTTTCCTTCCCGTAGACCCCGTAATCCCCCCTATAGCCCCCTTATAACTCTGAATTTGATTCTTTTTTATATACTTTTCATTATTTACAGGGATGTACACAAAATACATTTAAAAAGAGGGTCTTTTTTTGTTACTTTCCAAAGAAAATGTCACCAGTTCACAGGAGTTTTTTTTTTTTCTTAAAGTCTTTTTTGTACATTCCAGCCATGAGCCATTCAACAAAAAACTAAAATAAAAATGGACAAAAAAAAGAATACTGTGCTAAAAACGCAAAAGAATGACGTCCAAAAAAAGGAGGGCGTGTCCGGTTTGTGCTAGAGTACAGGATTGCTGGGTGGGCCAGCACTGGTGCAGCAGCAGTTACTATATTGTCCTTCTTGTTTGTGTGTCCATGTTCAAAGTCCACTTTGAGTTTATCTCAGGCTCCTTTCTCTTTTGGAGTTCAGTCTCCCACTGACGGACGAGAAAACAAAACAAAACGTGTGTGAAGTGAGGGGATGGACGTGAGGTGGTGCTGCTTCTTCTTATATTAGGTGTGTTGTTTGCTTTTTGTAGTTATAATCACTAATATTATCATCGTTAGCCTCATCATTAGGCTTTTTTTTTCATGTTTTTCCATGAAAAAAAACAAATAGAGAGAAAAAGAGAGAACGTAGCGCGCCCCCCCCACGATGAGGATGCGGATGTCCACCGAAAAACGGACGTGAAGTGGGTCTGTTTTACAATCTGTTCGAGTGTGTGGGTTGTGTGTGAAAGAGTGTGTGTGCTTGTTCGGAGCAGACGCGTGAGTGTTTTCCTCTACTTCTCTTTTATTTCCCAGATGGAGGGACGCTCACGTCAACACTGCGGTCACTGTGAGGACGAGCGGCAGCCACGTCAGTCCGAGCATGTGCAAGCGGGGGGCTCCACCTGCAGAGAATATAAATAATAAATATGTTATTGTCCAGGTTGTTAGGAATTTACTATGATTTACTCCAAAGACAGTTAAAATATACGGGTCATTCTATAGTGGTTTAACTCACTGTCCCTGATAAAAATATGTTTAGGAGCGTATAACATATTTGCACACATCACATTTAATGCTTAGCAAAAGAACTGAACTATTTGGTACCAATTCATTGTAGGCCAGCATTCGTTAGGCTTCATGACACCTACATAAGCCTTACACCAGTGATCTCCAATGCTAGTTCTGGAGAGCTGCCTTCCTGCAAAGTTTAGTTCCAAATAAGCTGCCATGCCCTCTTACTGAACTCTAATATGTCTGATCCAGCCAATCAGGGACTTAGGAAGACGTTGATTAGCTGGAGCAGGTGTGGCAAACTTCCCTCCCTCCCCAGGACCGGAGTTGGAGACCACTGCATTACACTGATGAGCCAAAAAAGTATGACCACTCACAGATCAATCAAATATTGCTGATTTATCTGTAACCAAGGCACATTAGACAGTAAGCAAACAGTCACTTCTTGTCATCGATGTGTTGGATGCGGGACAAATAGGCCTGAGTGACTTTGGCTTTGTTCACACAGCAGGTAAAAGTGGCCCAAATCTGATCTTTTTCTTCAAATGTGTGTCGGTGTGAACAGATAAACACACTGAATCTGACATTTCCAATTCCAATTTCAGACGCTTTCATATGTGGTACCTAAATCCGATGCGTATCCGATATGTGGCAATGCAACTTAGTCTGAACAGCCAGACTGGAATTCACTTTCACGTCAAACTCCACTTGTCATAATTCGTGCTGCTGAGACCTCATAAACATCTGGGCTGATGTTTCTGGTCAAAAAATTAAGAGACTTATCAAGACCCTCAGTGTTTGAAGAGATTTCTAAAGAAATGTCCGAACGCGGCCGCAGGAGAACGAGGCTGCAGCGTCAAAGAACAGTTAAAAGTCTGAAAGCAAAGTTTAAAGAATCCGAGGACACCAACCAAAGAAGTGACCGTGCCTTTTTACGGCGAGCTCGAACACATTCTGGGTGATGAGCCCAGCTGACAGTCAGTGAATCTTCATGATGGCTCCTGTGATGCTGGTGAAGATGAAGCTGAAACCCTCCAGTGACTGATGCTCGTTGCACATGTGGGTCAGTTGATGATTTGATATTATAGAAAAAGAAGACCCAAACTGACCTTCACGGTTCAATACCAAGGTCAGAAACTGTTATATTAATATTAAAAAATGTCATTTTTGAGATATGGTTAGTCTAGCGGCCTCACTTTCACTAACTGGCCCTCCCCCTTCCTTCATCAGTCAGCACAATGCTCGCCATCACAGACGATGTAACATAATGTAACATAATGCTGATGTAACAGAATTGGCAGTTAGTGTTCTCCTCCAAGCGTGTTGAACTGCCCAGTGGCGTTGCATTAGCTGCAGTTATATGGGTGTAGTGGCTGACTCCACACTGCAGGTCGAATTACATGTTTTATTGATGTACGTGAAGTTTAGAGCGCAAATAAAACATAAGATGTAAAATATGCAGTAACCTTTCCTTTCAGTAACCTTTACTTTCACTATGAAAACCAGCAAACCATAATTTGACCAGGGGTGCCCAAATGCATGCATACAACTGTAACTGAAAGGAAGCACCAGCCTTCACTCAGGCCAGCCTGGTAGCAATGTATGATAGGTTAAGGCCTAGCAAAGAGCTGGGAACTGGCCATGACTAAATCAGGGAAGAGAACTGAGTAAAAAAAATGGGAACGATATATAAATAAAATAACAGGACCTATTTAAAATACTATCACTCTATCAGAAAATGGACTGTGGTTACATATACACTGTCAGAAAAATGCAGTCAAAGCAAGGCATCAAAACACAGCACAGAGCATTTCCTCAGCATGCCAGGGCACGCCAGACATATAAGCTGCATCAATAAAGCTGTACAAGCCCCACCTTAAGGTGCTTGGACCCCTATAAGCAGGGTTTACCACATAGTCTGAGAAAACACAAGCGGTTTGTATCGCTCCACAGAGGGACCTCAGAGTAAATCCGAGGACATAGAAAAAGCCTCTCTTTCTGCATGGGTGCCCTTCTGAAGCTTTAGCAGAGAGGACAAGCAGGCAATGACCAAGCAGCTTCATAGATCTGCAGATACTGCATTATAATTGCTTAATGCACTGTAAAGGGCTTTTGAGTGAGCTGTACACTAATGCCAAGTGACTATGGGCACAATTCGTACACATATTACACAATTTTCAATAAGCGTGCAAAAGACGATGGCCGACAAGCATTTTAAGCAGCGCTCTGTCAACGTGGATATAAAAAACGGCATCTTCTAATGGCTCAGTGTTTCTCATACAGCCAGTTTCCTGGATGTGGTTTAAGGCTGGTCTTGAACTAAACTGCAATAGTTAATCAGCACTAGAAATGTTTTCTAGGCTCAAGTTTATTTGTCATTTGCACAACATGTCAGGACATTCATGCATGGAAATGCTTGTGGTGAGGCTCAGATAGTCACTCTACAGAAAGTAAACAAAGTAAAAGTCAAAATACAAAAAAAAAACCTGAAACTGAAATATATTAAATATATACAAAATACACACAAAATAAAGAGACAGGAGGGACCTGTGTAAAAAAAAAAAAACTCTCTGCTATGTACAAATATATTTATATTTATATTAAACAAGGGCTAGGTTTTATAATATTTTATATTATATTATATTTTATATTTTAGGTTTTACATATATTAGGCTAGATTTAGGCCTAGTTCCTTCTTTAGGCCAATCTCCGTCTCGTGACTTACAGCAGTCTCACATTATACTCTAGTACATATTATACGTCATACTTATTTTATTAAAAAAGATGTTTCACACAAACTTTTACCAGTAAAATTCATCTGCAAGACCTGCAAACTCATGTCTGCCTCATTCTGAAGGCCCCTGGATGTGTAAAAGAAATGAAAAGCTATGTTTTCAATTGAGATATACACCACAACTGTCATGCGCACTGCTGTTTGGTGACTTACCGCACAAAAATCAATAGCAGATGACATGATGTTTGGAATTTACACCAAGAAAGGCAGCAAATCGAAAGTCTTTAAGATAAACAGACGAATGTAAATGGTCTGTTACTGCAGGTAATGATATTAGCACAGGCACATTGCAACCTTTCAGGTTAACAACAGTTCATGTCGGATATGTCAGTTAGTTAGCTGATAAATGTTACTACATGGTATGAAACATGACATTTTTCACCATTAATGTTACTGTTTTTAATATTTGGGGGTTTGGAGACCTCTCTGGAGGAACTGTGGAACTGCACACAATGTGTGTAAGAACATTTTGTAAAGGTGATTGTGCTTTGGACCACCAGGAGCGGATGAATCTGATAATGGTGAGCTTGTTGAAACAGTATTCAACGGGAACTCAAAGTAATTTAAATATTTATTTATAGATTTCAGCCATTACTTCAAAGAAGAGTTGAGATGTAACAGAGTTGTGATGTAGCAGAGTTGAGATGTAACGTAATACACATATCAGTAATAAGAACTCAGAATACAGAAATTAAAAAAGGCAGTATTCAGGATAGAGTTACCTTTTAAATGTCTAGGAGAATGCTTTCGAACACGTACCCACTAAATGTAAAAACCTTCTTTAAAGGAATTTTTGTTTTTAAATATTTTAAAATCAGTTCATGTTGTGTAAAGACAAACTCTAAAGAAGAACTCAAAAACATCTTTAGAAAAACTGTTCCTGCTAAAGCCTGAGTAGACTGATAAATAAATATGATCAGTTATTAATCTCAGTGTTACTGAGCTCTGCTAAAGCCTGAGTAGACTGATAAATCAATGTGATGATCAGTTATTAATCTCAGTGTTACTGAGCTCTGCTAAAGCCTGAGTAGACTGATAAATCAATATGATGATCAGTTATTAATCTCAGTGTTACTGAGCTCTGATAAAGCCTGAGTAGACTGATCAATCAATGTGATCAGTTATTAATCTCAGTGTTACTGAGCTCTGATAAAGCCTGAGTAGACTGATCAATCAATGTGATCAGTTATTAATCTCAGCGTTACTGAGCTCTGCTAAAGCCTGAGTAGACTGATAAATCAGTGTGATCAGTTATTAATCTCAGCGTTACTGAGCTCTGCTAAAGCCTGAGTAGACTGATAAATCAATGTGATCAGTTATTAATCTCAGTGTTACTGAGCTCTGCTAAAGCCTGAGTAGACTGATAAATCAATGTGATCAGTTATTAATCTGTGTTACTGAGCTCTGCTAAAGCCTGAGTAGACTGATAAATCAATGTGATCAGTTATTAATCTGTGTTACTGAGCTCTGCTAAAGCCTGAGTAGACTGATAAATCAATATGATGATCAGTTATTAATCTCAGCGTTAATGAGCTCTGCTAAAGCCTGAGTAGACTGATCAATCAATGTGATCAGTTATTAATCTCAGCGTTAATGAGCTCTGATAAAGCCTGAGTAGACTGATAAATCAATGTGATCAGTTATTAATCTCAGTGTTACTGAGCTCTGCTAAAGCCTGAGTAGACTGATAAATCAATGTGATCAGTTATTAATCTGTGTTACTGAGCTCTGCTAAAGCCTGAGTAGACTGATAAATCAATGTGATCAGTTATTAATCTGTGTTACTGAGCTCTGCTAAAGCCTGAGTAGACTGATAAATCAATATGATGATCAGTTATTAATCTCAGCGTTAATGAGCTCTGCTAAAGCCTGAGTAGACTGATCAATCAATGTGATCAGTTATTAATCTCAGCGTTAATGAGCTCTGATAAAGCCTGAGTAGACTGATCAATCAATGTGATCAGTTATTAATCTCAGCGTTACTGAGCTCTGCTAAAGCCTGAGTAGACTGATAAATCAATGTGATCAGTTATTAATCTCAGCGTTACTGAGCTCTGCTAAAGCCTGAGTAGGCTGATAAATCAATGTGATCAGTTA